ACGTTTGGAGGGGCGTGCAGATGTGTACAGGGATTCAACCCATTTGCGCGCCATGGGTAGCCAGGTTCGCTGCTTTGATCGGAGCCGGTGAGGTTGCGCGATGCGCGAGGTGTGACATTGCAAGCGCGAGTGCAGCAGCGGGCGTTGTATGTGGGCGCTAAGTTTCCTCCAGCGCTGCAACGGACTTTGCCTAATTCGACGGTTACCTGTATTTTTCCTACATGTAAGAGCTCGGAGTCATGCTTCTATGTCATCTCTGTACTTTGTAGTCAAGCATCACTATACAGCGGTGGTAAAACATTGACGAACAGCAGCCGGTCGTGGTGCAAATGACATCAATGAAATACGCGTATTAAATACCTCAAATACATCAAGTTACTTTATCATGAAAGTGTTCCTCATATAAATTTTAAGTGTCACTAGCCAACCAAAAATTGGGGCACTCATTCGTGACTGCTACTGCAGCAGTGTGCCGCGGCGAATTGCTGAAGCCGTTGGCGCTTCGGGGATAAACATCAAAGACAGCACCGGAAAGTGCTGCGAGCTTTGGGGAAATGTGTCGAGCTAGGCTTTGAGGGGGTGCCCGTGTAAGGCCCCCTCTGGGAACTTTGAACTGATGCGTAGCGGTCTCAATGCAAAATTAGTCCCAAAAATAATTTCCTCATACAACCTTTCATTGCGATAGTTTTGACCCTAAGGCTTTCCACTAACGCAAGAGATGCTGCTTATGGCATACATTTGCCGTGCATCCTGATACAGGATTGACTACATAGATAAGCAATCCATAATATAGTAATTAAGGATCTTGCCGCCTAGGCATCGGGCGTACAAAAGGGACAAATGTCGACTGAGAGTCGTAAAGCCTTTGTGGTATCCACCATTGCTTCCGCAATCGCTCCACCTGGACAGCAGGTAAAAACAATGGCTGCCTCTTTGTTCTTGCTGTTTACGACATTGTGTAATCCTTAGTGCTACATGGCGCTTAAATCTTATGCCAGGATCAATATGCGGCCTACCTAGCACAAGATGAAAGCGGGGCAATTGGAGCCTTCCTGGACTCACCTCAAACCACGTTACAAGTAGGGATTTGCGTAATGCTGTACATGTGTCATGTTGGCTATTCCCTTCAGTATTTAGGAGTGCATAGGTGTGTTGCCAGGGACATGATGCGTGATACTACAGATATGCTTCCAAAATGTGCGCAGGCTGCAGTTTCTGGGCTGGGAACAGGCCAGCTTCAGCTGAAGCTATCTAATTCCGCTGAGTTCCCAGATGCCTGCGAGTATTCCGTAAGTGCATGGGTTGGAGTGGGCGCATGTGTGGTTATAGTTGATTTGTTCGTGCCCTTGACGCCTCTTTGCATTGCCGCCTGCCCTGCAGGTGGTTCTTACCAAAATGCGTGGCGAGCCACTGCAGTCAGAGGACGTCCCCACCGGTGTGACGGTTGCAACCGTTGCTCGCTCACCTCTAAGTGGCCTGTACCATGTCCTCAAGGATGTGTACAGCCCCCTGATCCAGGCGCAATCAGCCGCCGGCTCAGCAGTGCTTGACAAGCGCCTGCTTGATCTCCTGACGCAAGTGCAAGCCGGCCTGGGGACTGCCGTCCGCAAGGGTATGCCGGTGAGGTCGCCAAGTTGCGCTGCAGTCCGAACCCTTATTGTCATTGTTGTCTTTCACGCCTTGGCTCGTACTGATTGCAAGGACTGCACTTTTTTTTCTTACCCTCATATCAAAGGTTATTTTCGTGCATTCGCGCAGGCAAGCGCACAGGAGGTGATGGACCCAAACCAAGCTCCAATCGAGGAAATTGTAACGCCGTTGGACGAGATTAACTTCTGGGCCGAGCTCACGAACAGCGCCAACGCAGGACCGATCAAGAACTCAGCTCTTCAAGTGAGCCTAGTATTAGGCGAGGATACTGTTGGAGTATCTACACATTGCTTAACTAGCAAGTGGTTTCATGCCAGGCTGCTGGTATATCTGGAATAGCGAGCGCAGCTCTAGCCGCACACTGCGCCTTGCATGTGCTTATGGCGTGCTGTTCCTGACATGCATTGCTTGGTGCTTCGTTGCCGTTTCAGGTTTCAGCAGCATTAGAGCCACTGCGTCAGCATTATGAATTGCTGTGCAGCCATCCAGTACAGTCAGATGGGGCCACAGGAGTGACCTGGGAGATCGCTAAGGAACTCGTGGATTTAACTGTTGCTGCGCTCCGGACAGTGTGGCCAATTAAATTGCCAATCGGTGGCTGGGCAATGGGTCAGAAACGCACCGACAATTTTTTTCGTGTGGTTGGAGCCACCTTAGCGGCCTATGTGCAGCGCCGTGTGATGTGGTCAGCAACGCGCCATGGCAGGGGCAACGCTGAGCTATGGAACGGCCCATTTGGTGAAATCCGTGCCTTGCTGGTTGGAGGCAGTGGCCTCATGGCACGCTGGGCCCGAGAGAGCAGCAACCTGGTGGAAGACTGGCGGCTGGGCGTGGAGACGGGCGGTCATGACTGGGAAGGCACTGGCTTTACGGATACATACGCGCGCGCATTCCAAGAGCGCATTGAGGAGGTGGGTCCGATTACAAGAAACGTTTAAAGGAATTTTTACTTGTAAGACGTCTTCGTTTGCAGCAACGAAAACAAAATACGCTGCGCTTTTTGGCACGGTTGCTTAGGGCGTCGAGACTGCCTGTAAGCCTAGTTTCATTGCATGCTCAGTTTAGAACTGAAGATCTGCGAAAGTCCTTCCAACCTTTTAACAGGCTCTAGGGCTTGGTTGTGGTACTGTTGAAAATTTCACGGAAGTTTCTGCTGGAGTGCCGACGTACATTATTGAACTTTGCACATAGCACGCTTTACTATCCTGCTTGTATCTGCAACCCATAAAGCAGGGATGCGTACACTTCCCCGTTGACCGCTGGATTGATCTTAATCATTCAGGTGTACAACATGCGCGAGATGCTCCAGGAGCTGGCAAAACTGTTGAGTCCTGAGGAGGCGGGTACACTTGGCCTACAGCAGGTCTTCACACCGTTTCAAGGGCTGGAGGCATTGCAGGTGAAGGTGTACACCGACCCCAATCCTCTGAGCTGTAGCCTTATCAAGTAGTGGGGCTTGGATGATTACCCTGGACTGGGGAAGCGTAAGTTCGTAACCCGGCTTCCGTGAACCTCAACTCTGCGAATTCATGGCATGCCTGGCTCATCACAGACCCTGCTTCGTACTACGCATTTTGCCTGTTAATTTATTGTAACCGTAATTAACATAATGCGCCAAATTTATTGTAACCGTAATTAACATAATGCGCCAAATTGTACAAGGTGAGCGAATACACATCACACGTATGGAGGGTCGCAATTGAGGACTTTGAGCGGCGGATGAGCCCCATCGAGCAGTGCATCAGCCAGAAGCTCAAGGAACTCTTCGGTGCGTCGATCTGTACGGCTTCTGCTGTTGCCTTATCTATGCTGTATGTGGGCATTCGGTGCAGCTACGGGCGAGAGGATGCATCTGATGGGGTAATGCGGTGACTGCAACTCTGCGTTGGTTCATTTTAGTGCATGACTGCACAAGGTGCTTGCTGGGCTGTTGGAGGTGTGCAGGTATCCCTAACGCTACGAAAATTTATTTATGCGGTAAATTATATGATATTGCCTATGAACCTCGATGGCTGGCCAGGGTCGGTCATTATCCCTAGCCTCACAAGCGCAATTGGTCCGGGACATGGCGGAGACCGGTCTGCTGCCAGTGGTTCGCTGATCCAGCCTCAGCAAGTGCTCGCCGAGGTTAAGCGCTACGGTGGTCTCATGTGTCGTCGTACGATTGCTGTGGCATTGCAGGTTTGTTGGCCTGATACGAGTGGCATGGCATACCGTAGGTAAATTTCCTACATGGTCTACCATTCATTATGATGGGGAAGTAGCTACTTACTTACCGTAAATGACCCTAGATAGTAATAGTCGGGCAATAAAAAGCCGCAGCGACAGATATAGTGCAAACACGCATTTATTTACTTCAGTATAAAACTCTTGATGTGTACTCTGGTTGTGTACTCTGGTTCTGCATAGACCGAGAAGGAGCATCTGGCCAAGCAGGTTGATCGGCACCTGGAAAGCATGCAGGTGCGTCGGATGATGCAAGGTGTAGTTCTTGCAGACACAAACTACGGTCCTCAAAAAATCACGTATAGTAGTGCCTCATTCCATTTGCTGGCACCTGTTCGAACTTCGCTGTTTTAATTATTTGCAGTTTTCCACAGGGCTGTACTTAGAGGGGTTGGTATTATCCTAATCAGAGGCACTAACGTACTGCCTCAAAAGTATCCATGACAATTTTTCGTGCTATTTGAGATTCCGGCCGGCAACAATTTGTAAGCATGGTACAAACCGGGGTCACACCGGGCCCGTCCGTCCGCACATTTCAGCGATTTACTTCACTCGATCAAACTCTAAACACCGATGATCCTGGGATCCTGTATAAGACATGACGGGAAAGCGATAGACGCCCGCCAAAGACTTCATAAAGATCATCAGGTCGCACAGTTTTCGTGTTCGAAACGTGTGCAGTTCGGGTGTTGTGTTCAAAAGCAAGCATGCGAGCAAATGATAGCCGGAGCATACACGTGCTCCGGCCGTTGACTCTCCCCGCCGTCGCTAGCACTCTCAGAAGGCGCTTCACTCTTCCACTGCTATTGCTCTCATCCATCCCGCTCTCGTTCTTGGGGCCTTCAACTTGAGTCCTGTTTGCAAGGAGATGCGCCAGGCGAAAGCTTGAGAAGTCTGTAACCTAAGAGGGTCGACGGCTTCGCACGAGAATAATGTGTTTCTGCCTGAAGCGGCATTTTGGTGTCTGGCGGGTTGTTGCAAGGTGGTCTCGGAGCATACGTGAATCCGAGGATCGCCGCTCATTCGGCAAGGCTGTAATTATCACGTGCCATAAAGTTGGGGTACCTCCCGAATATATGGAACACGATTCATTTAAGGCAGTACGGTATGCATCATTGGCACGCATTAAATGGAAACCAATTTCTGTGCAGGCCGAGTTTGACGCTCAACGCGACAAGGCTGCAGGTGGCACCAAGGTTGCCGCCGTGGGGCGCGTGACTGCATCTATCGTGGACCGTATTATGTGGTGTTTGCAGACCTCGCAGAAACTTACCAAGGTACGTTTTGACAGTTTCAGTCACCTCTGCCTGACAGCCGTTGCTAGGGCTCTGGAGTGAGGAGCAACACGTGGGCATTTAACCCCAATTGACGGTTGAATTCATGAATACATAAAAAAGGACAATGCCGTCGGTTGGGTTACTGAACAGGTCAGCGAAGTGCTGCGGCACATGCTTCGTGGCGGCGTGGGCGGCGATGAGGGTACCGGTAGTGTGGCGCTGCGCAATACCCTTGGCGTAGTATCGGAGCTCTCAAAGGAGGTGGAGGCTTTCCGCAAGGAGCAGTACACCGCATGGGAGGTGTGTACGAACACCAATCCATTGCCAATTTTGGTATAAGTCTATGATGATGTATGTTGTCCGGCCACACTATGCATATCACGCGGACAGAACCCACATGGCGCCTTGGTTGCCTAGTAATGCGTGCCCTTTGGGACCTTCCACCTGCAGGACTGGATATCTGAGGAGCTGGATGATATGGCAAACTGGAAGAACAACAAGCTGATGACATTTGACAGCCAAAATAGCCACATTAGAACCCACTTCAATGACCAGCTAGTGCTGCTGCTCCGTGAGGTCCGGCAGCTGCAGAGCTTGGGTTTTGGCATTCGAAAGGATATTATCAACGAGGTGGAAGTTGCCAATAAGTTTTACAGGTGCGCGTGCCGGCTGCCATTCGTTTGATGGGTAGCTTGCCCTATCCTCTTGCTGTATTGAATCGAGGGTAAGCTACCATAATGATTGTGATACATGTGCGCAAGATGAAGGCCGCCTGGGGCAATACATTTTATGTTTTATGTATCCTGGCTGTGGTACAGCGGGTTGCTCCTGCCCTGACGAAAACAAGCGCCTTTGGTCCTGGGATCTTAAACATTTAGAGGGATTGAAACGTGGATGGAAACCGTGATAGGTAAAAAAACGCTATAGCCTGTGGCGCCATGGGCTATGCATTGCATATGTAATCGCACACGGGGCATGGTGATCCACCCAGAATGGTCGCCTTTATAGGACCGAAAGGAAATTATTAGCTTGCGAATCGCAAGGGTTGTATCTCATCTAAAGTTTATATTCTTAAGTTAGAAATTTAATTAAAATTTCTATTTAGAAATTAGGTACTCGATTTTGGCCCATTAGATGGCGGTTAGGCCATTATCTAAAGTACGACATTAGGAAAAACTACAAAAGTTTCGATGCCGTCCCCCGGAGCACGTTTTGTCGTTTGTCTAGAAGCAATAGCTTGTTAGATTGCCACCTTCTTTCAGCATCTGGCTCTCTTCTTAAAGGACATTGCGCTCTCACCTCATTGTGCATGTTGACTTCGCTATTGGCATTAAGCTTCATAGCCGCCAGATGCTCACCGGCAGGATTTTGGATGCGGTTCATGCCGAGGTCCGAGCCAAAATGGACAGTGGCCTTGACGGCTGGAAAAACCGACTTGCGTTCATGGCAGCCCTCTGATTAACGTCATGAAGCTGCTAAGCTTCCGATCGGTGTTTGCGAAGGTGGTCAACACTAGTGGCAATGTTTACGCGCTCAGTGGATTTGCGACCTTCACATTAAACTGGTTCTGGTCCGTGCACATGGTCAGCAAGTACCCGCCATGACGTATTGGCCAACCGCGTGCTACGCATGCACGCGACCACCTGCACCTCGGAGCGCAACTGGTCGCTGTGGGGCAACCTGTTCCACATATCCTGCAACCGGCTGGGCCAGGAGCGCCTAAGGCTCTTCTTGTGCCTTTATGAGGATGCAGGTTGTTTGCCTTTCTCCTGCATGCATGTGTCTCCTCGGACTGGGTGTGATGTGCGAGCGTACAAGATATGTTGCTACGGTGCTCCCCATGTCGACATACGACCAGGGTGGATAGAGCACATAAAGACGGCCAGGTCTTAGGATAGACTTTTCCGTTCGTTGCTATAATATCTTCAACTTCTCAGCTGCATGCAGTGCGAAAGGAAAAGCAGGCCTCAGGCCTGTCCAGGTGATGCTGGACCCATGGGTCCATGCGTCCCCGAGCAGCTGCTTACAGATTACAGCCCATGCAGAGCCCCGCCGCCCCAAGTATTACAATAGAATATTTTAACTTCAAGGAACACAATTACCACGTTTCATGAAGATTGGTTAAGTTTTCTTAGTAAGAGTAGCCAAATCCTTAGATGAGATCCTAAACAAATCTAGTTAGAACTAATTAGATCTAATTAGATTGAGATGAGATAACTTTTCCATCTAAACCTTTGGGCTACCCTACTTGCGATCTTGCTGGGTTGTCGCATGTTACCAGTGGTAGTCATTTTTTGTCGCCTTGCGCTGTAGGTACGGTATGGTGCTGAAGCAGCGTGCAAATTTCTACAATAATATTGCTACAGAGATGGTGCCGTGCCAGAAACCCATGATGCTGAAAGACGCCCTGGATTTCGAGAGAGTCCTCATGAACCCAAAGGACGCACAGGTGGGCGCGCAGGCATCTATCCGAATGCTGAAGGCAGGTCGTCTGTTCATAATGACCAAGCATAATGTTTCACCCGACTGCAGCAATATTAGTGGCCTTCTCATCCATTGTACAATAAAACTTGCTCCGCGCTTGTTGGGCTCAAAACTTCATTCCAACAGCCCTCAGGTGCCGGTGTGCAATAATTCGAATGTCCACTCGCAACCACCTTTCCACAACCATTGTGCCAAGCGGGAGGATCGCTTATGACTAGAAGCGCCTGGCAATCGTCGCTAAGCAACTGTGCTGTACGTGTTGAGAGCCCCACCCGTTTCTCGGCTTCAAATAATCCGACACCGTACTTGTCGCGTTGCGCTTTCCCTGTTTGTCGCGTTGCGCTTTCCCTTTTTTAACAGGGGAAGGAGATTACATGGCGCAATGCCGCTGCGCTGGATGGTTATGTTCGTCGCCTAAACGAGGTTGCAGACCGGCTAGCTGACAAGAATCGCACGTTACGCAAATGGAACGCCATGTTGACTGAGAAGGTGTGTATGCATGCTCTGTTTGCACCGGTTATGCGATGTGGGTCGTTGTGATGCAAACAAAGCAGAGTTTGCCCCGGTGTCGGTGGCGTAGGTCGGACCTACTAGGTCCCCTTTCGAACTTTAGAAACTTTCGAACTTTAGAAAAAACTTTAGATACTGCGGCTGGTGCAAAGAAGCTGTACGTTCTTAAACCTGACCAACACCTTCCCATGCCTGCAAAGGTGGTAACGCTGGCAGGTACGGACCTCGTCCGGCACAAGGATAAGTGGGCTGCAGGCGTAAAAGAGATGCGCGATATCTTCGGACGTCTCGAGTCGGAAGGGTATACACGGGAGTCCCAACAGGTAAGACATATATTGAGTTCTGGCGGAACATCTGGCTACGAAATACCACAGGCTAATTAATGCCTAGGCTACGAAATGTCATATTGCATGAATGTGCCCTGACTTGCGGTGGTAAAATAGTGTACCTATCGGCAGAATTGACATAAGGACGATAGCAATATAATTCACAGTTACGAGGCGCCATGAAGTGGCACCACAATTTTCCTTGGCAAGGATTTTTTGCTTTCACATTTATTGCTTATTGCTCCCGGTGTCGGCCTCTGCTTAGGTGTGGCGCCAACATTGGGACTTCCAGCTTTACAAGGCACTGGAAGTACAGTACCTATCAGGGCTTGAGATGATCAACAAAACGCTACCTGAAGTTGAAGTTAAGATGGTATTCCGTCAGCATCGCCTGCAGTACGACCCGCCACTTGAGGAGCTACGCATACGTCACGTGAAGGATCTGCTCAACACCTTCCTAGGCCTGCCGCTGCGCATGAAGGCGAGTATCAGTGTGTTATGCCGATTATCTTGACCATAATTACAAGTGTGGAAAGGTGTTCGCCTGCGTCAGAACGTTCATAGGATTCTTGCTGGGTACGGTCCTTGTCATGACCACCTGCCATCCTTGTTCGCTTAGGGTCTAAAGCGGGAATGGAGCAGCACTGTTGGTGGCACGCGAAGCTTTCTGTTGACTGGCATTGCAGGGGGTTAGTGACCTCTCTGAGAGGCCCGGCTTTTTTCGTCCCATTGTGGATGCTAACCCAGCTGGCATTGCACGAGTCTACGCTGCCGCTGAGGCTCTTTTCGCGCAACTGGGTGAGGAGCTCAAGAAGTACCAGGTGGGTCGTCTACAACAGGAAAGGCGGTCGTGGGACAATCTATGGACTTCGGTGTGTTAACGTAGCACGAAGACTTGTGCGAGGAGGCTCGGCAAAGCTGAATATACCGCCGTGAGCAAGCTTCTTCCGTTCTTCGGCAAAATTAATACCAAGAGTTTCCGTATGCGAAAGTATTACTTGGCACATTTAGGTCACAGGATTACAGACTGGGCACCAACCTCATGTTCAATGGTTCTCCTTTCTGTAGCAGTTTTATCCACGAATGGAACTAGCACTGCGACGGCGCATGGGACTGTTGCCCCAATATTGTTGGTCAGTAGCGCCCATTCAAGTGCCGTGGTCAGTAAAGTCCGCATAAGTGTCCTTTTAGAGCGGGGTTTAACTGAAGACGTCACTGAATTTCTCATTGAGCACTTACGGAAGTTGCGTGTAACGTCCCTGCACATGTGCCTGGCACACGTGGCTGGCGAAGGCTATTTCCATATGCAGTGGACTAAGGCAGGCAAATGAGCTCGTGCTTGGGGCAGCGAAGATTTAAATTTTTGGGGACGCTTGCCACGTTTCCAGTGCTGTTCACCTTCCCGGTTTTCGGCGCTAGCTTTCTGCAGTGCTTAATGGACACCATTATCCTAGGCGCATGTGGTCCCGGCGGTCGCTGGAGTCGTTCGCGTTCCGTTTCCCGGCACTCCTTGTGCTCTCGTGTCATCTATGCACACCCTCTTCAACTAGTTGCAGGCCCTGACTTAGCGTGACGGCTTTCCGTATTTCCGCATTGCAAAGATGCCTTTACTCTAGTCCGTTGTACTCTCGCAGGACTGGATGGTGCTGGGTACTTTAGATCTGGACGAATTTGCGGATGAGAACTTGATGGAGGTATCGGACTGGGAGCTTAATTTTCGGATGCTAAAGGCGGCCAGCAGGGACGCAGAAAAGCTACCAAACGAGGTAACCAGACGCCCCGGCAAAGTTAAAATAGAGTATTATTGGAGATTTAACGCAACGGACTCTCCATCACTACGTGCTACGTTTCCCTCGTGCTTTTTGTTACCATACCACAGGTGCGAATTGAATGCTACAAGTTATCGCTGGCACCTATCAAGAGCACCATTGACGAGCATATGAAGAAGCTCCAGGAGACATTGGTGTCTAGCCTGCGCCGCAAGGCAGGTCTCAGGTCCTTAGGTTCAGGTGAAGGATGGAACATGAAAGGCTGTCAGAATTACCTGGTCAGAATTATAGGGTGGGAGAACCTTTTAAGCAAGGTAGTAGTGTCACCCTGTACAACTGTGCAGCCCTTTGGAGAGCTGATGTGCTCTGCTGCTTCAATGTTCCATTCCTTACAGACGATGGCGGAGAAAGACCAGATTGAAGACTTCATGAAAAATGCACGCGAGCTCTTCCAGCGCCAGGCCAATACTGTGGAGGATATTGGAATCGCAGGTCAAGAAGCCAAAGCTCTCACGGCAAAGCTTACCGGCATTCAGGCGTCGCGCCGACGGATTGACGAGAAAAATAAGCTACTCCGCCAAATGGCAGGAGGCGGCAGGGATGCGACATTCGCTGTAGTGGACCTTGCCGACGTCAACAGCAGCTGGGATGCTTTTGCTACGCAGCTGCAACAGTTTGATGCGCACCTGGAGGAGCAGAAGAATCAACTTGGCGTGCAGGTGGCGGGCCCCTAAGTTCTTAATGCTGGTATTAGCTCTGTTATGTTATTAGCTCTGATACTTGCTCGGCTGCTTTGGGCATTGTTAATGAATGTGATAAATATCTTATTCCATTACGCTGCTCTTGCTGCTTTGGCCCTTTCTTTCTTTTTTTGCTGCCCTGCAGATCGGCCGCCAGCTGGATGAATTCAAGGGCAAGGTGGTCGGCATGAACAACCGGTGGCAAGAATTAAAACCCAAGGGCGGTCCCAGTGGAAACCCGGCCGTGGTACTGGCTAAGATCCAGGAATACGCCAACGCTCTTCAGGAATTGCGCCAGGAGAGCGCGAAGCTGCGCAAAGAGGTCAGAAAGGATGGGGACGCGCCCTGTGCCCATGCATGGCTGTTATCTTGCAGTCATAGATGGCGTTGGTTCTTTTCTCATAAAGATTTAGTAATTGCCAAACTTTCAAGGTGCCCCCGTCTTCCACGAACTGACTGCAGGCCGAGGCGTTTAATATCGACGTTCCGGACTTTGACCTGATGAACGACATGGAGGTGGATGTATTGGCTACAAAAGCAAACTGGGATCGCTATGCTAGTTTCCTGCGCGAGCGTGATGATATTGCAAACCGCGACTGGCTATCCATGCGTGACCAGGTACGGAAGCGTATGCCTTTCGGCATATGCCCGATTTGCGCGCGATAAAGCTGCAGCCAAGGTGTGGTCCTGTGGATAGCATTGCTATATGAAGTGTAGCTAAGTAAATATAAGAACTTGTTGGTGCGGATTGATGGTAATGTGCTTGCCTGGGTCACACATTTGTTGTTTGGAACTCATCTCTTTTCCATGCAATTGTACACTTCAGCTCATCGTGTATGCCGTCACATGCAAAGGTGTGGAAGATCGAGGATTTCCTGGCTAAGTGGACCAAGGCTACTGCTGGAAAAGGTGGTGAGGATCCCATCGCCATCATTCTGCTCAACGAGATTGACAACTACACGCTTTGCTTGCCACACCTCAAGTCCTGCCTACGTGGTGCTGGCTGGGAAGATAGCCATTGGAATCAGCTCTTCGGCATGCTTGGCATGAAGACGACGGGACCCGCAGCCATAAGCAAGGAGACAGTCACTTTAACGCACTTCTTGGAGAAGGCTGACCTGGTGGGCATGACAGGTTCTGACTGCTCAGTTAAAGCCAGGAACAAGCTGTCCATCTTTGCTGCGTGATGGGTGTATGCGGGTATAAGCACGCACTAGAACGTTTGCAGGCCATTGGCAATTTTGGAAGTTAACGGTGCAGAACGAAGGTGGTTACGCCCGCAATTGCGGCCTTCCCACTTTACAATGTTGTTTGCCCCTATCCTCGCTGTGCAATGGTGCCTGTGGTGTAGGTCGTTAAGTACACAGATGCAATCAAGGCACTGGACGCGCAGGCGCAGGGCGAGGCGGTTATTCGCAAGGCGCTATCAGAGCTCAAGATGTGGGGAATGGCCCGAGATTTCACATTTACGGAGAGCTCTCAGAGTGTGAGTTTTTGGTATGTATCAAAGTGTGTCTGTTTGGGGGGGGTAAAGTGTTTTTGTATCTACACCATTGTTTTTTCTAGTTTAATAAACAAGGAAACACTCAGCGCGGAACCATAATTGCCGTTGGCAAACCAATCCTGGTAGTTGGCGCAGTCCTCACAAACCACCATTATTTAACCTATGTATAGTCCCAGCGCCACAGGCTTGGACATTTGCTGCAGCCATTACCAGGACCGCGACCAGGACCTATATCAGCCGCAGGTGCTGCAACGTCTATTTTAGAAATAATATTTACATCGCTGCTCTTTGCTTGGATTGTCAGGAGAGCCATATGGGCAAGCCTTCACCGGCCGGGATCCATGTGACGAATGTGACGCAGAAAGCTAACAATCCTGAAGTATCTATGTACAAAGGTTCGAAGACCCTGAAAAGATAACTTGAAGGCTACATGTCCACCAACCCACCGATGCCGTACAACCAAATTTGGGAACCCATACCTTCTGCCGTATGCCTCTTACTTTTATAGCGTGCGGTAAAAATGGCATTCCTTTACATGTACTGATGATCTGCTTACCGCTGAAAACCAGGACATTTCCGTTCAAAGTTCGATCTGTGTGTTCGTGACCCATTTATGCATTTTTGGGCGAGGCCCCGGGCACGAAGCGCCATTCGGGGGGCCGAGCCCCCCGGGTTCACTGCTGTCAGTCTGTCAGTCAGTCAGTCAGTGGCTTACATATCTCGCCCCGGAAAAAATAGCGTTTGAATGCTATATCCCTTCTATATTGAAATGCCAAAGGAGACATTCCAGATAAATCGGAGCGCGAAGATAGCTTTCCATGGCTCCGAGTTAAACATAAAGTTACATATCTCGCTCCGCAAAAGATTGAATGTAGAAGCTATATCTATTCTACATCCACCTGCCAAAGGAGACATTCCAGATAAATGGGAGCGCCACAAAGATAGCTTTCCATGGCTCCGAGATAAACATAAAGTTACATATCTCGCTCCGCAAAAGATTGAATGTAGAAGCTATATCTATTCTACGTCCACCTGCCAAAGGAGACATTCCAGATAAATCGGAGCGCGAAGATAGCTTTCCATGGCTCCGAGTTTGGCGGAGGAGGGCGGGGCCGCCCAGGTCGGGCCGTTGCGCAGGCGGAGGTGCCAGACCCCACAGCGGGCCATGTCGGCAGCCCCCATCCGCCGGCCGCCTTGCCGCCCGCGTCCCCGCCGGCGGCGGCGGCCCCTGACCAGCCGGTCCGCCGCGGCCGCGGCCGGCCCCTAGCAGAGGGCGCGGAGGAGGGCGGGGCTGTTGTTGACCCATGGCAACGCTCTAAGCACCTCCCTCCTAGCATGTCGTGCCTGTTTGATTGTTGTCCTTATTCTCTTCTTCATTCATTCAATCCAAGTTCAAACGAAGTGTGCCTTTGCGACACACCATCAGCTTTGCCGCTGCATTCCGACTTCAAAGTGTGCAATTGGAACGATCCCCGAATGCGTTCTGGCTGGGAGCGGACAACAATTGGTCCATGAAGCACGGGCACTTTTGCGCGCCTCGAACTGCCAGCCAGACGGCCCTTCGGTCTGCTGGCTGACAGTTCAAGGCGCTTTGTGTGTATGTCATTCTACGGATTGCCGCATCACAAGAAGGCTAACTGTTCCGTCAATAATGATTATGCTATGGCGGCTGCACGCTTGCGACTATCCAGACAGGTCTACGCTGGTCTACGCCGCCATAGCAAGTCTGCCGACCTTTTTGTTTGGGAATTACAATAACAAGTGTGTACTCCAAACATGGCGGCGTTCTTGTGCTTGCACTCCTATGCCGTACGGATTGCCCTGCGAATTAAACGGGGTCAAGTGGCTGCACCGGGGCGAGCCCCTTTTCGGCTTTGAAAAGCCGCCCCCCTAGTCTATGAGTCAGTGCCATGAGATCGAATGTTGGGCGATGCATAATGGAACGGCAGTAAAGCACTGTTGAATCTACGCCTACAGATGCTGAAGCCACGCATTATCACAGCGCCTTGTTATGGTATTTCTGCCTGAGGTATCCCTAGCTAGATTCAAGATATCTACATCGAACGAATGCGTGTTGCAGGAGTCCTAGTATTATAGGTACAGCCGCCCCTCGGCCTGTGATAAAAGAATCAGATATGAAGGCGGTGTTGCAAGCAGAGTCTCGCGCACACCAAAAGCATTTTGTTTTTTATTTGAAATCGGCTTTTTCATTTTTCACATGAAACGGGCGATTACCTAGACTAGGGAGGATGGGATGATAGCCGGGGGCTCAAGGAAGGATTGCAAAATAACATAGGTGTACTTCTTTGTCATATGGCCAGCAATCTGACTTAGCAGTAAGTGAGGTCATCGTAAGGCTTCAAAACAGCCCACCAAATCCCTTGGTCATAGATATGCCATAGCACACTCAACGAAACGTGTGTTGTGCAACAACAATACATTCGGCTATCTACTTCCGGAAGGATTCGTAAATCTATCGCGAATTTTGGAAGGTACCGCGAATTTTTGTCGTGCATTATCACGTACGCGACAATCTACTAAGGGCAGGTCCCATATAGTTTAACCAGTATGATTTGGCCGATTTGGGGATTGATCTGGGTCAATGGGGCCAAAAGTTGGGAATTTCGGAGCACAATTTCGGTGTAATTCAATGCAACTGTCAAAAATCTTTCAGTATGCGAAAACCTAAGGAAACCAGTTTTGTAATTTCAGGTATATGAAATAACATTGACATCCTAAGAACATAACAGCAGGGAAAAGCCTTGCGCATTTCTTGGCAATCATCCTGCTTTCCATGTATACAGCAAACGTACTGCAATCTTTTCTTGTAATGTAATCTATTTGTAACGTTACAGAGTGGAAGGCTTCTGGGCCGCTTTATCACATTGTCAGTTCTACGATTTTATCACCTTATAGCACCATCCACCACATGTACTTCGCCATACGAACTGTAAGTCCAAGGCGGCGGATCCAGCCTTCGGGACCCCTCCTCATCCATTCACCCGAACACCCGAAGAGACGGAGGGTTCGGCAATCGCCACCAATCCAGCGTGCGAATCTGGTCCATCACCTGTGACCTCAACTCCACATCTCAGCAGCTAGCCATGCTAAGTTCTATGGAGAAGTTAAGAAATATCACTTTCATTTCACTTTCCATTGGGCCCACTCTACACAACTTTTATCAGACGTACGGATTGTAAGAAATTGCTCACTTTTAAGCTACGTTAGCCCTCGAGCACATTACTACTATTGCCCAGCACGTTTTCGCTCGCATTCCTTGACTCCCCTAGACAATGTCCCCATGGGCACCGTCGGCAAGCGCGCAGAGTTGTGCTGGGACGCGACCTGGTTAAGGCCTCCATACGACATTTGCGAATGATGTAATTTGCGGTGATAGTCCGGGAAAGCGGGGTGGTGACCCGACTCGAGATTGACATGGCCACGCTGCAAGCGAAGCTGCCTCAAGCAAGCCTCGTCATCCATATGAGTTCCAATGTAACCAGCAGGACTTCCCTGGAAGGACATTGACGAGGAAATAGCACTCGCCGGTTATGCGTAGCTGGCGTCTGTCGCTTCCGAGGGCCGCGACTGCACTGGTCAACGCACCAAATATTTGGCTATTCAGCTCACACAAATGTGAAGAGTATATGTGAGGTCGACAATTGAATACATGGTCGGGAGCATGTACTAGCTAAGTATTTCTTAGCGAGTGTAATGGAAAAGTTACGGAAATCTCCCTTTCCATTGGCCGTCCGGCAACTTCTTGCATGGGGCACTTCGCGCTGCCAAAATTACATACACACATTCGTTTACATCTATATTATCAGTTTGTGCAAGGAATCCCAAAAAAGGAGGTGCGGCGGGCCCGGCCGTCCCTAAGGAGAATCTACGAAAATTTACGACCAGCCAATGGAAAGCCCCTCATAATCTCGCGCTCCCGACTAATTCGGGGGTTTCCCCGGGAATCGAACCCAGGACCTTAAATCGCTAAGTAACTCAGACCAGATCTTTTCTGGGGCTGTGACGGGCGTGTTCCGGCACAAAAAAAGAGCATCATAAGAGCGTTTCACAACTGCAATGTATTATGGGTTCACCAGGTTTGCATATAATAATATAACTCCAAATGCCATTTTCAGGCTCTCGCCAGGCGATGTGTCAAAGAATTGTATCACCACAGTTTCCACCCAAGCGATTCCGTGCCTTTCGAGCAGTGCACCGAATTGACCTACAAGTTGCTACGTGTGTTTTCATCATTTTCAGATTATATCTCCCACCCTTTGGTTTTTGGTAATGTCGGCCCGCGGTTGCGTCAGGTCGCCGGTCGCCAGCGCCGGACAGCGTTAATTAAGGAGTGGCGTGACGCGATGACGGAAGTGGGTGACAACCAGTCGCTAGTTGCTTCCCTCAAGCAGAGCAACTACTACGGCATGTTTAAGGATGAGGTGCGTTACTAATGAACGCCGAACCTGGCACACATACATATTTTTGTTTGCATGTATTTGTATGCGCATGGAGTTTGTTACATCCATAATTATGTTTGGGACGTGCTTCTGTTAACACTGCTTGTACTGCCGACTGCAGGTGTCCAGCTGGGAAGCTAAGCTATCTTTTTTGCAGGAGGGGCTTACCCTGCTTAACCAAATTCAACGCAAGTGGGTGTATCTCGAGCCCATTTTTGGGCGCGGCGCGCTGCCGTCCCAGCAGCAGCGCTTCCGCAATGTTGATGAAGAGTTTCGCAGGACCATGACAAGCCTGGAATCAACCAAGAAGGTAGGGATTTCATTTGCACAACCGTGCTTTCAGGTTCAACAGTTTTTAGGCAGAAGAGCGATTTAGTGCAAGTCCAGAATTGACAGCATTCAGCACTTGCCGAATTGTCACCCTTTGAAATTTTGATGTGCACGTACCATGCCCAACCCATTCGCAGGTTGTTACATTTGCTGATATTCCCGGCATCCGCGACAAGCTTCCGCAGATGGCACAGCAGTTGGACGTTTGCCAACGTGCACTTGCAGATTTCCTTGAGGAGAAGCGGTCACAGTTCCCACGCTTCTACTTCTTGGGCGATGATGACCTGCTGGAAATCCTGGGTCAGGCGCGCAACCCAGCGGTCATACAGTCACACCTTAAAAAGCTCTTCGCCGGAATACAAAAGGTTGATTCGTCTTTTACTTTTTAACATCGCACGCCAACTTGGGCACAGATTTATTGATGTTTTATTTCGTGCTGGCCCTGTCGGACCCAACGCGTTTGGCTTACAGAGTTTTTCCTGCATGGTTGGGACGCGTTGCGCACTTCATTGGCTCCTTTTTGCGTATCTCTCCTGACAGGTGAAGTTCAGCCAGGACCAAAGCACGATTCAGGCAATGCAAAGTATGGAGGGCGAGGTCGTTGAGCTGGCGCCTACAGTGCGCATTACCGAGCAGATTGAGACATGGCTGGGCGACTTGACGCGCTCGATGCGAAACACTTTGCAGCAGCAGAACGAGATACTGTGCGCTGCTCGCATGAATGATGAGTTCCGGACTGCCGCAAGTCAAAGCCTACAGCTGAAGGAAGCTGTAGCATTCACTGAAAAGTGAGATGCACAACGTGCAACCCGCCCGTAGTCGTTGCTGGGGATCTTTTCTATTGATTGGAATTGTACGTATGTCCTTGCACAAGTGCGGGAGTAGGTTAGCTCACGAGGATGCTGGGGGCTTCAAACTTGCTTGAATACGTGTTGCTGTGCAGGGCTGAGCTGGCGCTGAAGGCGGGCGCTGCTGGGCTAGCCAAGCTGGTGGCGGACATACGCATGCAGTTACAAAAGCTAACCAGCTCTGACTTCACAGGTCATCATCTGCTCCAGCTTAAGAAGCAGGCGTTGGTAAGTCGCAGAGTGGAAACTGGGAAGGATCTTCATAGTTCTATGGACTTAGGGTTTGCCTGATCTGTTGCTTTAAACCGTGGATAACGTCAACAACTTCGGGATCATTGTGAACGCTGAGAAAAAAATGCCGTCGTCGGAGATCGGCGATCTCATTTGAACCCACTACGTTCGCTGTTCCAGGTTTACACAGTTATCCGCTTTTGTAATGGGCAGATGGTTGATCTAAATGTTTTCCGCAACGCTACATGTCCCAGACCATTGCGTTGGCGTGTCTTACCGGTTGCCATATGGTGGAGTCACGTCCCACCTGGTTGTCATTCCTGGCGGCTGTTTTATTCGTCCGGACTCGATCGGGTCGGCACGCACCGAGCAGATGGCCATTGTGGCGATTTATATTTATTATTTTCTATATTCTATTTTTTATGTTTCTTAATGTTCGGGTGGAAATCGTTATTGCATTTACTCCCGGTGACACTAGGTGTAATGATTGGTATGAATAGGGGAGCTCTCTAATTTCAAAGGCAATTTCAATCCTCATCCGCATTTATCCTCCGGCTTTCTATCGTGTCCACACACATCGGCGATGCGCCCTCCTGGAGCTTATCCTAGCCTGCTGCCCATTGCCGAGTGTCGAAGCCCTCTACGTACTTTCGGTGCATGTTGAAACCTAGGGTTGTCCAGCAAGATTGGCATCGTTCCAGTAGTTTCTGCCTTTCACATTGCGGACGCATCCATGTCCTTGCTGGCAAAGCATGGCAAAAACTTTGGCGAAGTTTTGGGCCCGCTGTGCTTGAGAGCACCGTTTTATGCCAACGAGCACTAGGTGTAGTCGTCATGTTCGCGACTTGTGCAGCCGGGTCTTCTTGTGCTTGGGCGTTATGCAGATACCGTGGACTGCCTTTCTTCAGAAAGCTTGACACTTTTTGCCGCTGTTACGTCCTGCACGCCAGTCTGGGTGCCAATATTCATAAAGGGCTTCGCAGGCACTTCCGAGGGCGACGAGTTGCCTGTTGCTGTCTTCAAATCCTGTCCTGACGCCCCCGGCGGCTTCAGGTTTTGGACTTCATCCATTATTGCGACGTTGCCGACTACCTGGCGAAAAATGGAGTGTCAGGCACCGCGGAGTGGGGCTGGACTCGGCAGCTGCGTTATTATCATCGTGCAGAGGGCTCAGTCAAGGTGGGTGCCCCAGCATGCAGTGTGATTATGCCTGCTTCGGTGCGTTCCTTAAGGCGCTCGTTATGCGTAATCCAGCGTTACGCTTGTGTAATGCCTCTGCGGTGATCACTATGCCCGGTCAGGTAGCTATGGCTGAGGCAACGTTTGACTACACGTGGGAGTACCAAGGGAACGCACCCAAGCTGGTGTACACGCCGCTCACGGACAAGTGCTATTTAACCCTTACCCAGGTGCGCACAATACTGTGGGGTGACGGGCTATAGGGGTTGCCTCGCGGAAGGCTGCGAATGTCAGGCCCGATGATAAATATAGATTCCAACGCTTCCAAGTTCTGAATAGCTATGAAAGCTTGTAAAGAAAAAGCTTGGATGTGGGAGCTGCGATAAACGTAAGACTGCTGCAACAGGGCATGGCTCTCGGTTACGGTGGCAACCCTTATGGGCCTGCGGGCACCGGTAAAACTGAGTCCGTCAAGGCGCTGGGCCAGGCGCTGGCTCGGCAGGTGCTAGTGTTCAACTGCGATGAGGAGTTCGACTTCAAGTCTATGGGGCGCATCTTCGTGGGCTTGGTCAAATGTGGTGCATGGGGCTGCTTCGACGAGTTCAATCGACTGGACGAGGAGGTGCTGTCAGCTGTCAGTCAACAGATACAAACTATACAGGTCCGTAATGCTGTAGTGAAGTAAACGTCCGGTGGTACACCCTGTCCTGAAATTAACGCCCTAGGCTTGTGGGATGTTCTGCAGATTATTCTCTGTCGCGACGATGAGATTTCGCTATGCAATTTATCATCCATTCTTAACATGTGGTAAAGGCAAGCTTACCTGGACCACTCCATTTGCCGAACGAAACCACCATGTTTCGTAAACCTTGACCTCTTCCGCAGCTAGCGCTCAAGGAGGGTGCGAGGACAATGATGTTCATGGACAAAACTGTCGAGGTGGACAAGAACGCTGGCATTTTCGTGACGCTCAATCCAGCGGGGAAGGGTTACGGTGGCCGGTCCAGGCTCCCTGACAACCTAAAGCAGTTGTTCAGGTAAGGCCATGCTCTACGCCGCAATTCAGCGCAGCAAGTCACGCGCTTTGATTGCATATGCATCCCCCGGAGTTCCTATTAAAACCTCTTGCGTTTGCAGATCCATTGCAATGACGGTGCCAAACAACGAGCTCATTGCCGAAGTATTGCTGCTGTCAGAAGGGTTCAACCACGCCAAGGACTTGGCTCGCAAGCTCGTGTCGCTATTCAGCCTTAGCCGTGAGCTCTTGTCCCCGCAGCAGCATTATGATTGGGGCCTGCGGTAAGAAGTGTTGTACTGCCAAGCGAACCTTTCTGCTGATCACCGTTAGTAAATTATTAGTTATCTCTTACTGGGGAAACATTTTTAACGACCTCGGGGCTGGAGGTAATCTTCCCGATTACCGCAGCCTTTGGCGAAGTCCTTTTCGTTTCATGCGAGCTGTTAATCTGAGGGCACTTGGGCCAGATTTGCCAGGTTGCGCATTCCATATAAATGCAAGTTTACCAAATGCAACGTAGATGCGGCAAAAGTGTTTCCTTCAAGCAGGGGATCTGGCAGTTAGTGTGTTTTCTGACAGTTTTGCCCAAGCACGGCAAGTGTTGGGTGATTGTACTTTTCTTCCTGTCATCTGCTGGCTATGCATATCATGGTCCCAAAGGTATGGTACGGGTATGACATTTTTCTGTATCCGTTGGGGTCCGGGGGAACTGGGATGCTCCCAACCTTGCAGCGCGCTTAAAACAGTTCTGGGCATTGCGGGGCGCGAGCTACGTGATGCACGCAAGGCCGGGCAGTTGGTGGACGCAGACGTTGAGGCGGAGATAATTATTCGCTCCGTAGCGGCAACTAAATTGCCAACTCTCACGTTCGATGATAATTCGCGGTTCAAGTGAGTGGGGGCAGGGCGCTGTACCGTTCATTGCATTTGGTATGACGCTATTAATTATCGATCCTCGGACCTAGACGAGGATGTATCGCAAGCTAACATCATACTAGTACCCTATCTTAGCACAAGTGTTGGCCGCCTTTAGTGATTGGTTTTGGCTGTGACGAGAGGGCGCGCAATACAATATTTGGAGGCCGCAGTGATTGCTACCGCCATAATACCCTCTCCCCCCGGGTGTCGACGATTGGCCTATGCAGGGCGCTTATTGTTGACCTTTTCCCGGGGGCTAAGCTAACTGATGCACGCAATGCGGCCCTTGAAAAGGCTCTGGTAGAGGCTGCTGCTTCGTGTAAGATGGAGCTCACCCAGCAACAGATTGACCGCATGCTGCAGGTAAGTTTTTTACATACCGATTTGCGTTTGGAATGATAAAGTTTGAGCGCTACCTGTCCAGAGTAAGTTACACTTAAAAACGCGCATGAAAATGTTGCCAAAGGCCAACCTCTAGAAACTTGCAGGAAAGCGACCAGCCTAACCTAAAATGGCAAAGCAACAGGTAGCAAACTAACGCTTCTAATTGGCTTGGTGGTCGCTAGATGCATTGGCTCTCACAGAGCCGATCATATGGCATTACATAAAACATAATATGAGCGGGCGGGTGACCATATTCCGGCGTCGACCATGGTAGGTAATTAAACTGAATAGTGTACTGTCACATCCGCAGCTCAATGGGAAAACGTCATTACCTGTCCGTTGGCCTCGCCTCGTAGTTGCACTTGGCGTGTGAGCAGCGTATCGGCGTCATCATAGTGGGGCCTTCGGGCAGCGGGAAGAGCACACTGTGGGAGCTATTGGAGAAGGCATATGAACGGCTGGGTCGCAAGCCAATCGTGTACAAGATGAATCCCAAGGCGATGCCTCGGCAACAGTTGCTGGGCTCTATGAATATGGATACACGTGAATGGAGCGATGGTGTGCTTACAGCGGCTGCGCGCAAGGTAAGACCTGGGGTAAAGCGCATCGGGACGGCACTAACGAAAGAGGTTACGGAGGCCACTTGTCTTGAAATGAAAACGTGGACGGTTGCCCGGCTATGCAAGGAGGCGGTCACAGCCACGTCCTGGTCGGTCGCGTACTGGCGGAAGCCGGTGGTGGTAATCCCTCTTCCCAGGTTACTGTCCATGCAATGAAGAAAGGAAATGGAAATCCTGCATTGTGCTTTAGGCATCAACTTCGGTTTTGCTTGTCTGCAGGTAGTTAAGGAGCCGCTGGAGCAGCGCAGCTGGATCATTTGTGATGGTGACGTTGACCCCGAATGGATTGAGTCGCTAAACTCTGTGCTGGATGATAATCGCCTCCTGACCATGCCGAATGGGGAGCGCATTCAGTTCGCGAATAATGTGAACTTCATCTTTGAATGCCATTCACTCGAGTTCGCCTCGCCCGCCACTGTGTCCCGCTGCGGTACGTGACGCTTACCATTTGTTAACCGTCTGTTTGCACGTTCGTTTAATTCCTGGAGCTAGATGTGTCGCAGCGAACATTCGTCCTTTCTTTTCAGGGTTGCAATGCGTCTGCCTCGTCTTGTTTACAAATAGTCTGCCTTGTTTCACTCTGTCCACATCTCTATCTGCATTATTGCATGTAAGGGAAATGGCTTCATTCCCATCTGATTCATCACGGCGCGCGCGCCACCAAGCAACATTAGGGTTTTTGGCCGAAACACAGGTATGCTGTTCATGAGCGACGAGGCCATGGACGTTGATCGCATGATTCAGCGCTGGCTCAAGCTGCATGCCGGTGGAGACGAGCCCGCGATACAGATGATGTCCTGGTTCAACAGTTATTTTGACAAGGTGGGGTTGTGCCTTCAACACCGGCTCGTATAAATCGGGCAAAATTTTTTAAATAACCCTCAATAAAAACGTGGTGCATAAGCACCGAGACGATTAGCCGTGCGTTGGTATCCACTCCGGTAGTCACCAGGTTACCAGGCTATTTAGGTTGAAACCCACTTGTGAATGCGCAGGTGAACAACTCCTTAACTCGAAAATAATGTTGTTGTTGTTATTGGGGTGTTACACTGTGGGCCGCTCGCCCCGAGAAAAGGACGAGCACCGGGGGCCCTGACCGGGGCGAAACACAGCGCAAGGGCGGGCGCGCGGCTCTACGTCCGTCTGTTCCTCAGCGCGCGCCTCATTCCCTCACTCACGCCAACCGGGACGATCTCCCAGCCCCTGGCTAGGCAACGCAGCGGCGCAGAAGACTGCGAACCGAACTAAATGAGAGCCGCACGAGAGGCGCCACACCACCGCTGGGAAACTTAGACAAGCTATCTGTCCCCACTTCGCCAGGCCAGCCTATGCACGCACTCTCGTCCCTCTTTACCGCCAAAACAAGAACAAAGAGAAAACACCACCGGGGGCAGGGGCTCTAATCAGGGGGCTCCTCTACACACTCAAAAACCGAGGCAAGGGAAGACCTACCCACGTCAGGTACGGCCCCTCAGCAAACTCTCCTAGTCAAGGACCCCACGCAGCCAGCAAGACAAGAGGTACACGGAGGACCACGGGCCTGAGACGCCACACCACAAAAGCCGAGACGCGGTTGCACCAAGAAGACAAACACAACACGGGCACTCGTACACTGGACCTCCAGCTGTTCACCTACCACTAGCAACGGACACCTACCGAGGACGTCCACCACTACCTCACCGGTCCACTCACAAACGAAGCAAAAAAACTGATCCGTACAGCAGTCTCCTCCTGGGGGTTGTGGGCTTCCAGGCGCAGCCCAGCGCAAGACAAAGCAAGAACACCTATTGCGGGGGGGCACCAGTGCGGCGCCCTCCTAAAAAGCCCGTGAAAGGCACGGCTGACAGACGCTGCCTGCTCCCGCTTACCACACCGAGATCCCTCCCCTGGCCGGCCGGGACCAGCAACACCTGCTCTCCACCTCCACACCACTCTCCACCGCTTTTCCACCTCCTCTCCACTCCCGCAAGCCACCTACGCCGTCTCTACTCTGATGCCAGACATTTGTTGTTGTTGTTGCGGGAGGCTTCTTGAACACCTTGTCATTTCTACAATTTATCATCACACAGCACCATCCACCATTACCACACTGTACTACGCCATACAAACCCAAGGCGGCTGATCCTGCCTTCTAGGATCCCTCCTCATCCAGTCACCCGTACATCCGTAGAGACAGAGGGTTTAGCAATTGCCACCAATCCAGCGTGCGAATCTCAATCCATCAACTGTGACATCAACTCCACATCTCAGCAGTTACCCATAATCGGGGGTGTCGGGGGTCTCCCCAGGATCCGAACCCAGGAACCAAGTTATGTGAATGCAGTGGCCAGAGAGAAAGTGGAAATTACTTGAGATCCTGCATAAACGCAATGTGGCAACGGAGGTGGCTTACCGGTACCCTGAGCTACTGTAGCGACAAGACTTCATAAACGTATGTTTTCCTGATCGCATTTATGCAACCAGCTTTTGACATAGACAGTTTCAGAACATATACGTCATGGCCTTGCCGGTAAGCATCATGATTCATATTTCTGCGCAATGTCCAGTAGGTACGGCAAAGCAGCCGCATACATGTAAGCCTAGTGCTCAATAACAGTGCCTGCTGTTTTGGGTGGCTTTTTTCGGAAATGTATGCTCCAATACAGGCCTTCCAATGGGCGATCTCACACCCCCGTGCCGTGGAGACTACTAAGGGCGGCATTCTTGACAGCGCTCTCAGCCATCTAAAGCTGGGGCCTAGCAACAAAGCGGAGTTCCTTGCGGGTCTATGCCGAGGCCTGGGCTCGAACATGAATGTTGAAGTTCGGGCCCAATTCTACACCGACATGTCTCGGTGAGCAGTTGTCCAACTGCTTGTGGAATGTTTGACGGGCGGCATAATAATACCTCTACATATTTTGTTAAATTGGCCTTTTATGCTCGGCTCCTGCGAACTGCAGGATATCTGGCGAAGGTGGCATCATGGATGTAGGCGTGCGCGCCGACCCGCTTAGTGTGCTTGGAGACGAGTTGCGCGAACGTGCCCTGGAAGATGCCGACGGCGGGCTGGTGGTCACACGTGGGTACTACTTAATTGTTGTTGTTGTTGTTACAGCGGGCTACCAAGTTCCTATACCATCAGGCAAACAGACCGAGCCAAATCGCCTGTCGCTGTGATAGGCACAAGCCTAGGAAGAAGGCACTAGTGGTCCGCAGTACAACTCAGCAAATTCGTCTACGACTAAGACCGGACTAGCATTGTTGCCAACGGGGATATTTTGCCAATATGGCTCTCCTATGAGTGACAAAGTCACGCCTACAAATACTGGCGTACTAGTGTAGCCTCGATGTGAAGAAGTGCAGCCAAATACACACGGGACCACCTTCCTACCAAGCCGTGTCTGAAAAATCACCCAGGGATGGAATCATCGCTCACCTCCGTCTATGAGCGGATTCATGCAAAGCAATTTTTCCTCTACTACCCGTAAAAAGGGTGGTGAGGCCCAATTGTGTTCCAACTACGCTTAGGCCGGCCTAAGGCAGTAAAAAGGAAGGGCTTTAGGGTTTTAGGGTTTAGGGTTTTAGGGTACCGCACCCAAAAGTTAAATATCACTCTGTGATGGCCCGGTCCATGATTTCGGCCTGATGTGTGATTTCCTGTCGGTGTGCTGTCGCTTGCGTGAACCGACGCCCCGTCTCCATCGCACTGACTGCCGCTAGGACCACTACATCCCAAGCACATTGTTGATCCGTTTCTTTTTTTCGTTTCCTAGGAATTTTCCCATCGAACAGTCGATCACACTACGACAGAACGCATGTGAACTGCCCAAGATGGTGGTTGCTGTGGGGAAGGAGTGTTAAATGCTTCCCGCGCAAATAGCACATGAGCTTGATTACGGTCATCATACAGACGATGCAAAATAACCGATGTGGCTATTTTAACTGTTACATCCGCTACACGCTTCCGATTATCGCTGGTAAAACTCCAGCCTAGCCTAGTAGGTAACAACAAAACGACATCGTCCACTGATGGTAAGCTTTGTTAGGATTGCTGCTTGTCCGGCCAGCTAGACATACCAGCATACTGCCAGGGCTTTGGTACGCCTGCTAATATTGCTTTAATTAACTGTAGATAGCGCTCAATACTCCAAACCCCAAGAAACATTTTAGCATGCGATGTGATGGGGTTGAGGTACAAGGTCACCAACTCTTTCCACTTCTTTATCCCCATACCACGCCCCATGTGGTACTACGTTATGTGATTGCATTGTGGTCTAATGGTTGTATCACGGCTATAGAAAAGTACCGATCGACGGATGTCAGAATCCCGTGATACGCCCAGGATACGACAATTATCCCCCGCCCACCTGAGGGAGTCCTCGACCAAGTCCGTCTCAGCGGCGACTGCAGGGTCACCTCCGGCTCCGCGGGACAGGGTTACCAGTCTCGATACCAGGCTTATTGTATCTAAGCAACTCACAACCTGATGGTGGCGTCAGAAGACACCGACTGGAAGAGATTTGTCCTCTTATATAGCGGGGGTGCAGCCATCTCATGAGTCGTAGAGCCAGTTCCGAAATGGCGCGGCAGCGCTCAACATTATCCCATCACGGGCTATTTAGCTGCTCTCAAAGTTACCGTTTTTTCTGCGTATGCAACATTCGAACTTCCCGAATATGCGTTTCTCCCTTACTGGTATACTGCAACCCTATCTGCCGCCTCCTTGGCACCTTGTAGCTGAGGTGGATCAGAACCTGCTCATGTTGGCTCCATGGCTCAAGAATCGTGACCCATTCCTTGTGGTCGGTCCCGAGGGCTGCGGCAAGGGTACACTGCTCGAGTATTGTTTTAAGCGTATTGTCGGCATCCAGGTGCGCGTGTGGGATACCTCTTGAATCGGTGCTCCAGATAGGTGCCTAGTTTCGTCCTGGGCAAACTACGACAGGGGATGCAACGCCATATAATACATGTGCAACGTTATGCACCTATCTCGTCCTGGCTGTGTCCTCGGCCCTGCAGGTCGCGGTGGTGAACTGCAGTGCGCAGACCAGTGCCAATAACGTCGTTCAGAAGCTGGTGCAAGTCTGTGGCAAGCCTGTGACGACAACGAATGGCAAGGCACTGCGGCCGCCAGATAACACCCGTGTTATCCTGTACCTTAAGGATCTCAACCTTCCGCGCCCTGACAAGTACAATACGTGTCAGCTCATTTCGTTCCTTCAGCAGCTCATTACCCACCAGGGTTACTACGATGAGAACCTTGACTTCATCCGTGTGGAGCGTGTGCAGATCGTGGGCAGCATGACGCCGCCCGGTTCCGTGGGCCGCCACGCGCTATCCACCCGTTTCACGGCACTTGTGCGCATCATGACCATGGGCTATCCCGACCGGGAAAATCTTAGCGCCATTTACTCTAACATGGCACAAAAGGTGAGGGCGGGTGTGGGTTGTCGCTGCTGCCTTTGCCAGGCCCGGAGCGGTGGCAGCCTCATTCCCAGTGGACTCCTTAAAATACTGTGCATAGGTTAGGCACTTACTGGTAACGCGCGACCATTGCCCCCGGGAGATCCCAGGATCGATACCTGTCTGGGTCGAAAATCCTTCCGATTGTGGAAGCTATTGCGCCCCCAGTTGATGGACGGTGGTGACCTGGGATAAAGTTAACCTGCGAGCCGACCAGGAATGGAGTTGGGCCGCTGTCGGCCCGGCAGATTCCGTTGGATGCTGGTGGTGGGTGCGGAACCTGAGCGATCCACTAAGTTGACTAGGGTGACTGGATGAGGATCCCCCTAAATACCGGGCAAGGCAGGGTTTCGCAGGGTAGCTGCCACGGGTGAAGATATACCCCCCTGTTTCACACATCATACTGTGTGGTCCCTAAAATTCTCAGGATTTCGCAGGCAACCTTTATAGTTGCTAACGGCTGGCCGTATGTATCACCTGTGGCAGGTGCTGTCGACCTTCAAGACTGCAACTAGCGTGGCACCCGCGGCTATGACAAAAGCCATGCTGGAAATATATGGCGCCGTGCGCGAACGTTTTACAGCTAATGACTTGCCACACTACGAGTTTAATGCTCGTGACTTGACAGATTGGATGGCAGGTCTACAGCGCTACAGTTTAGACGGAAGCCTTACGCTCCTTCAGGTATTGTAGAGGGGCTTGGGTTAAATGTTCCTTTACCTGTATTGCAAGGGGCCGGCGAAGAGGTGCTATCCTTAGGGTGTTGTGCTGAATGCATGCTACTTATACAGGCACTTGGCTGTCTGCATGTAGCTGAAGCATATAACATGATTGTTTTCATTAGCAAGGGGGCTGTACTTGGACTTGTAGTGCTTTCGACAGTGCGCAGTACGACCGTTACTAGTGAAGTCGTGGTCACCCCGATTAGCGCGCACAGGAACATAATATGTTTGCGCGGCACATGATGAACACGTTGAAAGATGCACGTGTGTACAAGGCCTCCGTGAGGAGCCATGCTGCCTATCCACAGATCGGAGCATGTTGTGTTGCAAGTGTAAGGTATCCAATCAACGCAAAAGGGGTTTCCAGTGGTGCTCGTGAACTTGCAATCAAGCCTCCCTTGTACTGTCTCTTCTATAACCCATAGCCTTGCACGCAGATGAGTAGCTTCCAAGGCTTTTTGCTAATTCAAGTAAACCTAGTTTTTGATGGTGGTGTTTATTGCAAGAGCTAAATATCGATTCTATATATGCTTCTTTTGCGGCGCTTGCTTTTAAGATTATGTATGATCCTGATTTTGGTTCTTTAGTACCTACAACTGTCCTCCCACATGCGCGTTGAAGGGCTACCAATACCATTCTTTAATGACATGAATGTATTTACAACATCCTACTCCTCGCAGGCCATCGCACACGAGGGTATTCGCGTCTTCCGTGATCGCCTAGTGGGCGACCACCAGGACCAATTCATGTCTATATTGACCAGCACGTTACAGTCTATGCTCAACTACAAGTACGACAGTATGCCCTGGTATGCCAGCACATTGGGCGCCTCCGCTGAGGAGCGGATCAGCGGCGATTTGACAAAGATCAAGATGCTGCGATGGGAGCAGGACACTTTTGCTGAACTGGTTGCGGAGAAACTTAAGGTGCCGTATTTAGCAGGCAGTGAAAGGCGGTTCTACAAGCCGTCTCATCGCAGAAATAACATCGGTGCCTTTAGCTGCCAAAGAAGCATTTTGTCCATGTCCACCTGAAGGTTTTTGAACTACTAGTTAGCAGCGTTCATCCTTTTGTTCTTGCCATTCCGCCACACCGTTGTTCCGAACTGCAATCTTCAAAATCTTTTATTGGGTGCTACTTTCCGCCAGAGCTATGAACGCGAGCATAAGGAACTCCACTTGCTACTCTTTCCCGAGGTGCTCGAGCGGGTGGCGCGATTTGACCGGGTGCTCAGCCAACCCGGAGGTTCACTGTTGCTATGCGGCAGCTCCGGTGTTGGGCGCCGCTCGCTCATGCTCTTGCTGGCGTACATGCTTAACATGGATTTCTATACGCCCAAGATGACAAAGTAAGCAGGGATAACACATGCCGTGTGGTGTACTGCACTGTTATTTGACTCGCCCCCAATCGGTACCCGCGTCTCCCTAGGACACATACTTAACTTACTGAAGGTACGTCCCTTTCGCATACGGTTCTACAGATTGTATGACCTCAAGTCGTTCCGTAACGACCTGAAGGAGGTGCTGCGCCGGGCGGGTGTGGAGGGACGGCCCGTGATGCTGTTCTTGGAGGACCACCAGCTGGTGTCGCCATCTTACCTGGAGCTGATCAATAGCCTCCTGTCGGGCGGCGAGGTGCCGGGCCTTTTCACGCCGGAAGAGCTCGCCAAGGTGCGTTGTGGCCCGTTATGCGGAAATTTAGTTGTAGACCCGCCGTTTATGCTTCATGTAGATGTTTGTAGCCGTGCCAGTGGCTGCCCGTACCAGTGTGCCTGAAGCTTGCCGTCAACTACTGTGCCTGAACAGGAAGTTCCACGGAGTGTGTTATGTGTTTCCTTTGGAATTTCTTGCGCTTCTTAAATGTGTTCCATGTCTCAACCGGCACTAACTGACGGGTTTGGAGTGCCAAGATTTCCTACTCGACTATACCTTCAGGAACTGGTTCCGTTGGAGAAGAGCCGCGACGAGGATCCGCTATATACTGGGCCGCCTAACTCCTACGCCTTCTTCTCTTACCGTGTGCGTCGCAACTTGCACATAGCTGTGTCCATGGACCCCGCCAACGATCAGTTCCGTACACGCTGCGAGGCCAATCCCGCGCTTTTCACGCGGTGCAGCGTGCAATGGATTGAGGGATGGAGCACCAAGGGCCTGCAGCAGATTGCAGGTTGGTCAGGTGTACATGTACATAAAAGTTCTTAAAATATCTGAAGTAATCCTCCATAAATTTCCCGAAATGATAGTAGTAGTATTCCGAAGTGTTTTTCCCAAAGTACTCCGACTTCTGCCGGGACCTCAGCGCTGTCAGCATTTTGCGTTGTTTTTCGTTGGGTGACGAAGGTGCTGAGTTTCCTTTGCATGGTCACCTCAAACGCCTTGTTTCAGATGGTAGAGCGTGGGTGCCTGGCTGGGATTGCTGTGCTGTAGGCGTCCCGCAAATGACTGGTACGCACGGAAAGCCGGCTTTACGATTGCAATTGTTAACGACAAGGTTGTGGCAACGCACCCACCATGAGATATCTAACACCATGCGATAGAGGTGTTGAGCTTTTCGAATCCTTTATGATGTTTACTTACCTACACCATTCCCACACGTTTCGGATATTTTCATGGCCTCCAGTTGAAATTGTTAGACCTTTGCCGTAGCAGCTGCAACAGTTCCTTGCTGCTAACCATGGCCATCCATCCTCGCTTTGCAGATGCCCGGCTGCAGGAACTGGTATCGGCCAGTCATGAGTTGAGCAAACTTGGTGCCGACAAGCTAGTTGGATACATGATACATTTCCATGTGCGTGCAGGGAACTTATTTATGATACCATACAAAAGGGTCGCGGTGTTAGTAGAGTAGCTGCAATGCTGATTCATCATCGTGCTCGCGTGAAAATCCCGGAATTTCACTTACGATGACAGCACATCGTCTGGTATTTGGCCTTTTCATGGCTTTACTGCAAAATGTGTGGAGCTAGCAATTAATCTCACTGATAGAATTCCCCTCCTCGTCATCCTTTTTCTGCCGGACATGTGGGTAGCTGGGCAGCACTGGCACTTCGGGCCGCGAGTACTTGGCCCTGGTTTCCTTGTATGGCCAGATCTACACCCGCAAGCGGACGCAGGTGCGTGGACTTGAATTGCAACATGGTTTACAATGTTTAACAGCACGCACTGTAAGGACGTGTCCACTTGTACTTTAATCTAGTTTGCTATGGCCGAATCGGCATATGATTTGTGGTTAATTTGGCCGAAAGAAATGAATTGGGGGTGGGAAACCTATTTAAGTTCGATTCAATGTAATGGGCAGGCGTCCATTAGCCAGTTACAGTGCTTCCACTTGCGCGCACATAAACTATTCAACATTACCTTTAACGTGTATGGCTAGCAATCAGGTGTTTCCATGAAGCGCTCCATAACAATCAGTTCAGGCACTCCTGGTAACGCACATATCGATGCCCGCGGAGGTTCCGGGATCGAGATCGGTCAGGCTCGTAAATCCTTCCGATGGACGGTGGTAACCTGGGATAAAGTGGACCTGCGGCTGACCAGGAATGGAGTTGAGCCGCCGTTGATCCGGCAGATTCCGTTGGATGCTGGTGGTGGGTGCTGAACATGAGAGATCCACTGAATTCAGAGAAGTCGGCTAGGGTGACGGGATGAGGGTGCCCCGAAAGACTGGGGAAGGCAAGGTTTCGATGGGTAGTGGCCACATGTGAAGATATGAGCCCCCCTATCACATGGAGCAAAATACGACAGGTTGATTTTGCCAGGGAACATTTGAACTTGTGAACGCCCAAAGCCTTGCCTACTAGCAGTAAAAGCCTGCTGGACTGGTGAAGGTTTGATTTGGGTTATGGACTTAGGAATGGTAATCAGGCTCGGAGGTCCGCTGATGAAAGGGGCGTTTACAGCAATGATTAAAAGACAAGACAGACGTCAATGAAAAGCCTGGAGAAGGACAAACGACGGCATAACTTTAACGACGGCATTACCCCGCTCAGAAGTTTAATGTCCAGTCTGATAATTATCAACATGTCTAAGGCCTTCATAACTACCGTGCCGCTAATGTGGACTTAGACGAGACGTTTCCACTGGGCCATTCGGCTTTTCGCTTACCGGGACCTTTTCCAGGAAATATTTATAGAACTTTTACTTTTTATTGCTGTATTAAACTTATACGTTAACGCATGGGTGATTAGCTGTGCCAGGTGCGAGATTTTTTGAAGTTAATGTTAGTGTTCGGCCAACTGGAAACACTTGTTAGCGTCCTCTAGTTAGGGTAAGGTAATTGGCGCGCTACCCCACTAATTAATGGCTAACCTACGCGTGCTTCTGTGGTAGCTCAGTCATGGCTTGTTTGCTTTCTTTACCATATTACAAGATTTCGATATGAATTTGTGCAGCTAACTAAAGCTGCAAACGCATTTCTTGCTAAAGGGCTATTATCCTGAATTGTTAGATAGGATAACTAGGATTCGCGAACTTACTGGGGTTTCCTTGCACGGAAGCAAACTGAATTAAGCGTCGAAGTTATCACAATATGCTTCTACCTGAATGATATTTAAATTTGCTTATTATGCAGAATTAAGTTCGCGCGACTCTGAACACGGACTATCTGTGGCGGGCAGCAGGCGGGCTCTGTTAGCTTAACTGTCGCGTGCTTCAAGTGCACGACTTTTGCTCTCCGTTGCCTTAAAGAGTCCACGCCAAGTGGCGAATGGAAGCCGGCCAAATTGCCGGAAGTGTTCCATTTAAGGAAACACCGGAAGCCAGTTTTTGTTGGAATACATGGAAGGACATCAGGCTAAAGTCTTGGCAGAAGTCTCCAATCTTGCTTTCAGTGCAGAAGGCTGGTAATGGCTGGCTGGTATTTTTTGCCATTTTCTTCCTTTTTTCTGGTTTCTGGGTTCTGCGAAGAAATCTGATGTTCTCGCAATATACGACGGACGAGCATTGCTTGGTTTCTGGAGCGGGGAAGATTCTTTTGAGTCGTGGAGTGTAGGTGTTTGTTACATCACGCAGAACATCGTAGCACTACCAAACATGCTGACTTTACGGCCGTTTTACCTGCTCTCCTTCATCGGTATGTCCATGGGGTGTTGCTGTTGCTGCTGCCCGGCTACTGCCGGTGCTGCCGTGGCGGCAGTGCTGCTGCCGCCGCCGTCCTGCTGCTGCTGTGCTTGCCGTCTTGCTGCTAGGAGGCGGCGAACAGGCTGTGGGGTTGTTGTACCAGACGGCTGCGGAAGTGGGCAGTAGCGGCCTCCGTGGCGGCGACACGCTCCGGAATGCCGCTACTGCCGCCACCTCCGCCTCCTGCGCTGCTGCTACTGCCGCCAATGGTTGCTGCGGAGAAGGGCGGGAAGCAGAGAAGCGGGTTCGCCAAGCAGCAGTAGCAGCAGTCGCAGTACAACATATCCATCGTTCTCACACACACACACACACACACACACACACACACGGCCCTTCTCCATCCCTTTGTCGTTAAGTCTATTCCCTTTACCTCTGCTTTCTTTATTACCGCCCCGGTGGGGCAGTGGCGTGCTTAGCGTGTAACGGACACTTTGCAGAAAACCATTTTTTCCTTTCTTTCCTTTTTTCTTTTCTCTACATATCAAGTACGTGCTACTCCTACAGCGCCATGTTACCTAACCTGATCAGATCAGCAGGAATTTTTAAGTGGGCCAGTCCTTGCATGACATAATCGACCTTGGTGCATGCTCTATGTGGAATTATAGTTGCAAGGTATCGCCCTCCCCCCGGATACCTCCCATCCAGCATGCTCTGTTATATATTTGTTTAGGATGGGGGCCCTCGAGGGGAGGACTCGTCCCCTTTGGCCCACATGACATGGGCGGGCTTTGCATTGGGCGTGTTTGCAGTGTGCTTTTAGCGGCAGATCGAGTGTGATGCTATCTGGAAGTACACCTTCTAGTTGCCGTCGACAAAAAACAAAAGCAGTTGGAAAGTTTAATAAGCAAACAAATCAAACCATAACATATTTGTGCAAAAGATATCGGAGAGCCACCAGTTGAAAATACGGCCCAAATCGTAGCCTAGCAGTCTACCTCGACATATTTGCATTACCGCAGCATCCTTCCCTCTGAACTATGCAACAGTCGTAGAAAGAGCATTGATGTTTTTGGTATGGAGGAAACACGTCGGGCATAAATAAATACTGTCCGCCGGTAATCGGGATTCTTTTGACCGCAGGTTTTGGAGCAGCAGACTTTCTTGAAGGGAGGTCTTGGGAAGCTAGCCGAGGCGGCAGTTACTGTTGACACCCTGAGCGTCGAGGCGGAGAAGCAACGCGTGGTTCTTAAGGCCAAGCAGGCGGAGGCCGATGAGGCGCTGGTACACATCCAAAATTCAATGCTTAAGGTGAGTGACTATAATCTTAAGAGACACGATGCCACCTCCCGCATCGGGGCCTAGAATAGTTAAACATTTTAAGGCCACTGAACCTTGTCATGTTGCTAAGCTACGGGACCTGGCCACCCTTGTGCATTTGCTCATCGTGCATGTTAAGCGGAAATGCCTGCGGATATGTGAAAACGCCAAATTCAGTTATACTCAGTTTGTATTCCTCAATACTTGATGTATACGGCTTCCTGTGCATTGCAGGCGGCGGACCGGCGTAAGGAGGTAGAAGTGCTAAAGAAGCGCACGGCAGTAGAAGAGGTGGAAATGAAGCAGAGGCGCATCAAGGCGAGTAAGGGCATATCGTATTTGAGCAAGCAATACGCTGCAACCTGCAAGGCTAATTAATGCATGAAACCTATATGGCTTGTACACAAACCTGTAATGGAAATTCTGTACGTACTGCTATCTAGCGTTTACTAGGAGCGATTGAGTCAATTGTATTGGGCTTGAGGTGTATAGGAGATTTCGGTGCCCTAACAGATGTCTCCACAGATGTATTCCATGATCCAAATTACACATCGTATCTTTCTTACGGTGTCCATAGGGGCTGTTTCGGGGTCACAGAGTTGTTAATGCCTATCCTGTTAACTTTGTAAGCCGTCTGTCCCTAACAGGGCCACATTGTATGCTGAGATCCATACTTGCTGCTATTTCGCACGTACTGTTTTTTGTGCAGTAACAGTGAACATAAGTCATAATGATAAAGTGCTGCCCATCGGCTAGGGCAGAACACCTGGTATCGTCGCATTAGTTTTGGTTCCCGTGATACATACCCCTAACTAATATATCAGTGCGGATGTTATTCGTATAGGTGGAGGAGGAACTGTCGGAGGTTCAACCACTTATCGACGCGGCAAGGAAGGCCGTTGGCAACATCAAGAAAGACAACATTGCAGAAATCCGGTCGCTCAAAATGCCGCCTGACGCCATCCGTGATGTCCTGGAGGGTGTGCTAATGATATTGGGCCAACAGGACACCTCGTGGAATAATATGAAGACCTTCCTGGGCAAGTCAAGTGTTAAGGATGACATCATCAACTATGATGCGCACAAGATCACCCCTGAAATCCGTGCTCGGGTAAGGTATGAGATGAGTACCACACACTCTAGTTTTGCCAGATCGTGTTTTGAGACTGTTCACAATCACTAGAGCCGTACCACCAGTGGCCGTATTGCTGGCCTTACGCATTTGCGTATAGTGTAAGCCTAAACAAAAATATCCTTCATCACGTCTGTCGTTATTATATGTTCCATTGCAGGCTGAGAAACTCCTTGCCGCTAAGGGCAATTCCTTTGAGGAGGCCGTGATCCGGCGTGTCAGCGTAGCCGCAGCACCCATGGCTCAATGGGTGAAAGCGAACCTGGAATTCAGCAAAGTCTTGCAGCGCGTGTCGCCTCTCGAGGCTGAGCTGCATCGGCTACAGGCGAGCTTGGAAGAGAGTCAGCGACTGATCCAACAATATGAAGAAGAACTAAAGCAGCTTGATGCAGCGGTGAGGCACTCGATATGAAAAGGAAATCCTCCTCCACATAATAAACAACTGTTTCTATTTGGTGTGTCCGGTCCTTTAGTGCTCGCTAGAAATAATTTTTCAGCACCCTCTTCTCCACCCTAGCGCTTCCCTCAAAACAAGGGTTACAAGATAATAGTGCCACCAAGTGGATATCAGCTGAACAGGTTAATGTATCATGTAATGTCACCAATTCCAACCGGTGGATGACGTGAGGTAACGATAGCATAACATTTTCTGGATGGTTTTCCGTCGTATGGGACCTCTGTGGTTGCTTGCCTTTTGAGAAGGTTTCCCAACTCAAGAATGACTTCAGCAAGAAAACCAGTGAGGCGGAGAGCCTCAAGATGAGCGTGGAGAAGGCAGAGGCAACATTGACATCTGCACGACAGCTGTTGGATGGCTTGCGCGGTGAGAAGATTCGCTGGGAGGCGCAGGTAAGCCCGCTGTGGCGCATGTACATTATACATATAATGTAGGGGGGGCCTAAGGCCTACAATCAGATGCAATAATAATTGATACTCTTAATATGACCTTTATATTTTAACCGTTTCGGTGAGTCAGGGTTATTTTTAATCTTGCTGATCCGGAAACATGGGTAGAAAACGCAACATCCACAATGGATCATGGTGGAATAGCTGGAATAAATGGCTATCTACTAATAGCGGTAAATTGATTAAGTCTAAAGAAAATAAGTAGTTTTGGTACTAAAGTTAAGTTTTATTGTTTAAGTTAGAAATGGACATGCTAAATCAATTAATTTTTATTGGGCGAGGCTCCGGGCTCGAAACGTCATTCGGGGGGCCGAGCCCCCTGGGTTCACTGCTGTCAGTCAGTCAGTCAGTCAGTCCGTCATGGTGTAACATTTCATCTTATTTCACCCCGCTTTAAACTGCGTCTGAAAGCTTTTCTGATTCTCTATCGATAGACCAAGGGAATGAATTCAGGTAAATTTGTGGGCGAAGTTAGCTTACCAGGGTGAGATCAATTAACATATCTCACTCCGCTAAAGGTTGCATGTAAAAGCTACATCGCTTGGCCAAAGGAGAACATTCAGGTAAAGTGGAGCGCGAAGATAGCTTTCCATGGCTTCGAGTTTGATTTCCCTCGCGCCGCAGCCCTTGCCTCTGACGTCGTTGCATGTCCCTTACATTATAGATTCATAAGCAAACGGCATGATCCTTTATGGGTTGGTTCGGCAACTTTAGACCGGACCCATGGCAACATTCTAAGCACCTCCCTCCTGGCGTCTCGCTCGTGCCTGTTTGATTGTTGTCCGTCTTATTCATTCAATCCAAGTTCAAACGAAGTGTGCCTTTGCGTCACACCATCAGTTTTGCCGCTGCATTCCGACTTCAAAATGTGTAATTGGAACGATCCCTGAATGCTTTCTGGCTGGGAGCGGACAACAATTGGTCCATGAAGCACAGGCACTTTGACGCGCCTTGAACTGCCAGCCAGCAGAAGGGCCGGCGTCGAATAGGGCAGTTCCGCCTCATGGATTTGGCGCAGCAGCGGCAACACACGTTGCCGCAGTGACACTCCTGCTTTGTGTGTATGTCATTCTACGGATTGCCGCATCACGAGAAGGCTAACTGTTCAGTCAATAATGATTATGCTATGGCGGCTGCGCGCTTGCGACAATCCAGACAGGTCTACACCGCCGTCGCAAGTCTGCCGACCTTTATTGTTTGAGGATTTCAATAACGAGTGTATACTCCAAACGTGGCGGCGTTCTTGTGCTTGCACTCCTATGCCGTACGGACTGCCCTGCGAATTAAACGGGGGTCAAGTGGCTGCACCGGGGCCGAGCCCTTTTCCGGCTTTGAAAAGCCGGCCCCCTAGTTTTTCCAGAGGGTGTGAGCTGTTCCTTGTCAAGTTCCCTTCCGTGCACCGGCATGCGTGTAGCAATCCCTTCAACACGCTACATTTGTGACGCACTTTCACCGTGTAGGTGGGAACGCTGGCCGAGCAGCTTAAGGAGCTGCCACTTTCGACGCTGCTGGCTGCCGCATTTATCACGTATGCCCCGTCTCACCCAGAGGAGTATCGACATCGTATCCTCAAGGTGAGGTTCAGGAAATACCCCCACGGCAGCGCTAGGACGTGGCAGCTTAAAGCAGCTTGTATGGGTTGTTTCCAGTAACCCTTTGATGCTCAAACTAGGAAGAACTGTTGATATAAGGCCAGTAAACGATGGCAATCGGCGACATAAGTCAATGCAGAACTCACCGTCCGCTTACCAGGTTGGGTATCTGTTAACCAGGTTATGACCCCTCTGTTGACGCAATGTAGGAATGGACATCTTATTTGAACTTGGGAGAATTTGACGTGTGCCGCTTCCTGAGCTCCGAGTCAGAGATGCTTAAATGGAAGGCGGAGGGCCTGCCTGCGGACATGCTGTCATCTCAGAACGCTGTGGTCATCCTTAACTCCACATCACGCTCACCGCTTATTATTGATCCATCTACCCAGGCATCCGAGTGGCTCAAGACACATCTACGCGTCACTGGTGCCAATGTTGATGTGAGCTAGGTGTTACCCAGTGCACACCATATCACATGTTCACTTTTATTTAGGCTGGAGGGCATGGCAGGTCTTAATTGCTGTATGTGTATGTTGAAGCTTCCAATGGTGTATTGTATTTAAGCAGCTTTATCTGAAGCAGGACGATAACGCGGGGTCATACTAGTCGAGACAACCCAACGCAGGTGGTGACCATGGCGGACCAACGATTTACCACGACGCTCGAGCTGGCTGTGCGGTTCGGGAAGACCCTGGTGGTGGCGGAGGTAGACAAGGTAGAGCCGATCCTATATCCGCTTCTGCGAAAGGACCTTGACCGCCAAGGGCCAAGATTCGTTGTGCAGGTGGGCTCCTGCGATTCCTGGTACTCGCACAGGTACTCTTCATGTTGTAGTATTGTGCCGTCACACGATCTGCATGTGTTAAAGAATCTTGCCAGGGAAAAAAGGAAGTACAATTTATAGCCCCAGCTTCCAACCAAACATTTAGTACAGCAATGTACTTAATTAAGTGAAGTATTAACTTCGTGAATAAGTACAGGGTAAGGGTTTTAGGGTTTTAGGGTTTTAGTTTACCCTAAGTAAACCCTAAAACCCTAAAACCCTAAGGCCGCACTGAAGCGATATTTCGGCCTCCGGATCGTATGGGTCCGTTACACGTTTGGAGAGTAACAGAACTCAAGGCGGAACACACGCACCCACGCACACCCACGCACACCCACCCACACCCTGTGTATCCTCCTTTACCAGCAACCCGTTGTGTCATTCAAATGCACACGTGGGCCCTGATGCTGTGGGGAGCTCTCATCAGCCGCGCATCGGCCCTGCCGGTCATTATGCCACATACCCGCGCCCCTTCGTCTTATTGCCTGCTGCAGCACCCGCAAACATCACCCCACATCACTGCGGCATTCCTATCGTCGCGGCTCAGATCATTAAAATTAACACACAGCAGCACGGCTCGTCACTTTCTGTACCCTCACCGTACTTCATCGCCGCCTATTTACTGCTACTGTGCATCCCCCCATTTCCTTCTATTTCAACGAAATTAGGATCGGCGCGCCCTGTTTTTGCAACTGCCCTCACATGTGCACATCTTCCAATGACGCCCACTTAACTCATGTGCTGCTGCTGCTCCTCCAACATCGGCGTTCCCTTGAACACACGTTAGTCAACGTGCTTGTGCCGCGCACCCTGCTTATCGTTGCATCGCTTGCGCTGTGGCTCTTATCCTTAGCTTTAGGATAGTAATTTAGTTTTTTAGGGTATATCTAGTTGATACCTTAAGCACCCTCTTTTATTTAGTTCTAGTCGCCTCGGACGAGAACCCACTTCGGCTTGTTCTCGTATCGCGGCGGATTAATTGAAAAACACACAATACTCCGCGACGGGCAGGGGAGCCTTATGCTTCCAAGAGGTACAGCAGTGGATGTATCCTGGTGAGCCGTACATGCCGATGGGCTGTCAATAAGAGACGGACCCCGACATGTGCGCATGCCAGTCCTCGGAATGCAGCTGAGCTGCAAGGCCCGCCGCATGCAATGTGCGACCGTGCAGCCAATTCCGAAAGCCGATGACCTCCCGACTTTGCTTCGATACCAGCCCTTAAGCAGCAATCGTCCAAATAAACGACCGATAGGGGGTATGCTAACCAAATGCGGCGGGCACGGCCCGTTTTAGGGTTGGGAAAATCTCGCGGCCTTTTAGCAGCACAACTCGAGATGTAACACATATTTGTGCATAGGCATTTTCAACGTTGCTTCTTGGCTTCACCGTGCAGGTCGGCGATAAGGCCACGGACTACAACGACACCTTCCGCCTTTTCCTGGTAACCCGCAATCCCGAACCTTACCTACCACCCGACGCGCGGTCGCTCCTGGCCGTCACCAATTTCACGGTGACGCGTTCGGGCCTGGAGAGCCAACTTCTGGGCCTAACCCTGCAAAAGGAGCGGCCTGAACTAGAGGAACAGAAGAGCACCTTGCTGCGCCAAGAGGATGAGTGCAAGGTAATGCCTTGGTGCGGGGACGGGGCAATGTGAAGCGGCCCCATGCCACACAGTCGAAGATGTTTGGTTGTGGCTTTTTGCGCTGGTGCCTGGCATCTCGTTACAAAGTTGAAAATGGATCAATGCACCTAATGTTGCACCCACAGGTTGCGCTGGCGGACCTCGAGCGCAATTTGCTGCAGACACTAGCTACCAGTTCGGGCAACATTTTGGAGAATAAGGACCTGCTTGACAAGCTTAATGAGACCAAGACGCGGTCGGGGACGGTGGAGAAGGCACTGACCGAGTCCAAGTCGCTGCAGGCGAGCTTAGACCAGCAGCGCGAGGTATACCGCTCGATTGCAGCACGTGGCTCGGTTATGTACTTCCTGCTGGCGGACCTCCAGGTGAGCGATTGGGAATCACAAGGCAACGAGGTCTTTGTTTGGCCACATGAGCAATTGCGCATCCTTTATCCGACTCCCACTTAATTAGTGTACCCTTGGGCCCTAGGTCTCCCCCTTCACTCGGCTACCATCAGCATGGATATAGACCACGCTATCTTAAAATATACCACCCTATTCTGTATGCAGGCTCTCAACCAGATGTACACATTTAGCCTGTCGGTATTCCTAGTCTTATTCCGCAAGGCCCTGCAGCGTGATACACCGACTGGCGGCGATGTCACGGCACGTATTGCGCTGCTGGCCGAGTCGCTGCTGGAGCTGGTCTTCGCTTACGTGAGCCGCTCCTTATTCAACGCCGACCGCCTTACCTTTGGTATGCATATGGCTCGGCATATGCAGCCGTCGCTTTTTCCTGATTTGCAGTGGGCGTTCTTCCTGGGCAAGCCAGTACCAGATTCAGCCACCCCACCCCCCAAGCCGTCCTGGGTCCGCGAGGAACAGGCCGGGGCGTTTTCGGCCCTGGCGGCCGCTTTTCCGCAGCTTGTGGTGGCCGCTGAGCTTTCTGATTCGGGCCTTTGGGCTCAATGGGCCAGCGGCGCAACGGACACGTTACCCGCAAAAGTGGGAAGTGGCCGCCTTAATCCGTTTCAGCAACTGCTTCTGGTCAAAGCTTTCCGCCCGGATCGCCTTCAGTCGGCTATGTTGTCTTTTATCTGCGGCACGCTCAACATCAAGTCAGTGGCGCCGCCTCCTTTTTCGCTCAAAGCGCTCATTGAGACGGAGAGCCGCTGTGATGAGCCCGTGCTGTTCATCACCACACCCGGTGCGGATCCATCCCAGGAGCTTTCTGAGCATGCTGCGGCTACGATGGGCAAGGAGCGGTAAGATTTGTAGCGTCATTTTTGGCCTGGCGCTGGAGGAGCATGTGTATCATAATGTCAGCCACCGCGCAGCAGCACCAACGATCTGACAAGATAGGATTATGCCGTATAGAAGTGGGACGGAAATGTCCCTCATAAATCATAGGCTCCCTGATTGCGATCTACTTCTTGTTCCCAGCATCCGTTCGTGCGGCCGCCTTCTGTACAGTTACCACGAGGTGGCCATGGGCCAAGGTCAGGCGGAGAAGGCGGTGGCGCTGCTGCGTGAGTGTGCCAAGTCAGGTGATTGGCTGGTCCTCAAGAACGTGCACCTGGCAGTGTCCTGGCTGCCCTCACTGGAAAAGGAGCTGCTTATGATGCCGAAACACGAGAACTTCAGGCTCTTCCTTACCTCTGAGCCCCATCCGAAATTCCCGTCAACACTATTGGAAATAAGCCTGAAGGTGAGCACCGTTGGACGTCATCCTAAGCTAAAGTTAGGAATGACAGACTTTCCTTTGTTTCGCTTTGAAACTTTACTTCGTTTCTTTCTCCTATCTAGTGGGATTGTTAGGGTTGGCAAAAATACTATATTTTTTACCCAAATAGTATAGTATAGTAAGAAATAGTACTATATATAGTAATGTAGTACTATGATACTATTACTAGGCAGGTACACGCTCCCAGTAGAAGGGGGGTGTACGACCAACCGTTGTACCTGAAAATTACACCGTTGGAAAGGTCTTCTTTTGTTCTTTCTAAATATCTACTTAGACATTAGAAAGCAGATCGCTGTGGTCATCCAGATCACTTTTTGTTAGTTCAGTGCCCGGTAGGTGGACCCCAAACCCCATGTCTCAAGGCGTGTTATGGCACATAAAGACATAATCACAGATAGAAGACCCAGTGTTCACAAGACAACACACGGACGCCATACTAGTGAAGTTCCTGCATTACAACGGCCCAGTACGTAACCCTCCAATTCGGCAAACTGCCGCAGCTCAATCTATCGTTGCTCAGTCATCAATCTGCGTGTTAGGGATGTACGTTTCCCTGGGTGCCCTGCTGCTGCTGCTGCTGCTGCTGTGCTTCCTGCTCCTGCTCGTCCTCCTCACACTGCTGGAGGATCAGCTCCACCTCATCCGCCGCAGCGCCGTGGTTGCCCTGCAAGCCCACCCCACCACTCCACATCGAAGTTGTCCCAAAGACTACCCGTCTTGGCGTTCCTCTTTTGGTTACGTAGCTTGTTAAAAAGCTCGTTCCGAGAACGGAGAACTTCAGGGGGGACGTCTGGACCAGGATGCAAGCCTCTGATCACCTTGTCATTCATTATACTGGATTCCCTTGACATTATTCATCAAAACTACGTAGCATAGCTCGAAGACGCGGCTATAGCCCTTCAAAATACAGCTTGACTGCAGATCTCGACTTGGTCCAACTAATACTGGACACTATCCAAACCCAAATCTAGTACTATCTAGTACTATTTTTACTATATTATTTTACTATGTACGAACGCGGTACGAGCGTCGTAAACTAGTGCCAGTTTAGAGCCCTGCATAATATATAGTACTATGCATAGTACTATTATAGTATAGTACTCTTTTCTAGTATAGTACCCGTGCCAACTCTAGGGATTGTGCATGAATGGATATACATATAAAAAACGTGTTGCCCAATGTTGCTGTGTTTGCAGATCACGTTCGAAGCTCCTCCAGGCCTGAAAAAGAACTTGCAGCGCACCTACGAAGCATGGTCTGCGGAGTTCCTGTCTTCCGGGCCCCCCATCCGCGCCCAACTGCTTTTCGTACTGGCTTGGTTCCACGCGGTGGTGCAAGAGCGGCGCACATACATACCGCAGGTAGGTGTGTGGAAGGAGTAAGGCAGGGCATTTGTGGGCCAAACAGTCATAAAGGTTTTAAAATGTCCCTACAATGAACAGCAGGGCGATTATGGCTGTGTTTCCGCCATTTGTAGGCCAGGACCATATCATGCCTCGGAACACCACCGTAAGGCAGCTCTATCCAATAGTGCGCGTCGCCAAGGACGGAACGTCCTTGCAAGCCAATAAGGGTACTCCCAACTGACCTGGTACAGGGCTGGACCAAATTTTACGAGTTCTCATTCGCGGACCTGCGCTCGGGTATGGACGTGATTACCCAGGCCACCCGGTCCGGTGGCGCACCACAATGGCCCCTTCTGCTGGGGCTGCTGGATGATGCCATCTATGGTGGCCGTCTGGACAATCCCTTTGATCAGCAAGTACTGTTAACCTTTCTGCGACGCCTTTTCAGCCCAGACACCGTCGGTATGACAGGTGCCAAGGTGCGGCCACTGCCGGGTAGCAAGGTCGTGGTACCTACAACGAACCACCGTGCCGACTATGTGTCTATCATCTCGGCGCTTCCGGACATCGACACGCCTGGACTGTTCTGTATGCCTGAAAATATTGACCGCACCGCACAGCAAGTGAACTCCAACCGCGTCATTTCGCAGCTAAAGATGATGAGCCTTCATGCGGACGCGGCAGGTGGCTTCAATCGTGCACAGTGGCAGGTGCAGCTGGGGCCGCTGCTGCGGCTGTGGGACCAACTCATGGCAGGCGCAGGCGCACTTAAGGCGGTGATGAAGGAGATTCACACGCGCGGCACGTCAGATTGTGGAGGCTCGCCTGTGGAGAACTTCATGGCGCTGGAACGCTTTAAAGGCGCCAGCCTGGTGGCGCTCATAGATCGTACATTGGGGGCCATAGCACGTGTACTTAAGGGCACTGATACACTGTCATCGGGCGTGCAACTTAACGGCACAGCGCTACTGTCCGACACGATTCCTGGTGCTTGGGACGCAGCTTGGGAAGGTCCCGAGGCGCCCATGGACTACTGCCGCACCGTGGTGGCAAAGGCGCTGGCCATTGAGGGGCATTGGCAGCGCTGCCAGCAGCCTGGCGGTGGCGGCCTCCTGGATGGCAGCAGCGGCGCGGGTCCCCTGGAGCTGAGCTCCGTGTTCCACCCAGGCACATTCCTAAATGCACTGCGGCAGCAGTCGGCGCGTGCACTAGGCTGCTCCATGGACACACTCAAGCTGGTGACCAGCTGGGATGCGGCACGGCTTCACTCCACAGCGAGTGCAGCGCCTGTGGTGCTGCTGGGTGGCATAATCCTGCAGGGGGCCACCTTTGATGGCAGCCGCCTAAGCCCTGTGACGGCTGAGGCACCTGCGTTTCGTGCAATTCCACCTATGTATTTGTTGTGGCTGCCAAAGGATGCACCGTATGCGTACAGCAGCTACATGGAGGCACCACTGTATATGACAAGCGAGCGCACCAAGCTCCTGGCGCGGGTGCAGCTGCCCCTGAATGGGCCAGATGAGCAAGACATCTGGGTGCTAGCAGGGCTGGCGCTGTTCCTGGGCGTCTGACGAAAGTCCAATCACCTCGTTCCTGTGCACTGCGATGGATTCGGAGGCCACCAGTTAGGGGTTCAAACGTTGTAAATGCTTATATGTATGCTTTAGGCGTGCCAGATCTTGCTGTGGGATAGTCCATGGCTGGTGATGCGGATGGTTAGGAAAATGTGGATGCGATATAACGGGGCTGTGTGTCCAACCGATGGGTGCGTGGCCAAGGGTTGCCTTGAGGATGCGTTAATATGGACCTGGTTGAAACCGTGCGGCCGGATGCAACCGGCCAAGTGAGAAGCGTGATGACGAACGACAGGCAACTGTAAGATTGTGGCACGTGAAGCAGGCAGATTGAGCGCCAGGCAAGGAGAGGTAGGACTAGGGGGGGGCGTTCCAAAGCCGACTAGGGGGCGGCTTTTCAAAGCCGGAAAAGGGCTCGGCCCCGGTGCAGCCACTTGACCCCCGTTCGATTCGCAGAGCAGTCCGTACGGCATAAGAGTGCAAGCACAAGAACGCCGTGACGCTTGGAGTACACACGTGTTAATGAGATTCTCAAACATCAAAAAGAAAGGTCGGCAGACTTGCTACGGCGATGTAGACCTGTCTGGATCGTCGCAAGCGTGCAGCCGCCATAGCATAATCATTATTGACTGAACAGTTAGCCTTCTCGTGATGCGGCAATCCGTAGAATGCCATACACACAAAGCAGGAGTGTCACTGCGGCATCGTGTGCTGCCGCTGCTGGACTGCCAGATACGTAGGTGGTACTACCGTTGCATCCATGTTCGGTCTGCTGGCTGGCAGTCCAAGGAGCGCCAAAGTGCCCGTGCTTCATGGAGCAATCATGTTGTCCCAGCCAGAACGCATTCGAGGATCGTTCCTATTGCACATTTTGAAGTCGGAATGCAGCCGCAAAGCTGATGGTGTCACACCATCAGCGACACAGTGTCGCAAAGGTACGCTTCTTTTGAACTTGGATTGAATGAATAAAGGAAGGAATGAAGAAGAAAATACGAAGGACAATAATCAAACAGGCGCGAGCCAGACGCCAGGAGGCAGCGTTGCCATGGGTCTGTCTAAAGTTGCTCCATGAATCTATAATGTAAGGGACATGCAACGACGTCAGAGGCAAGGGCTGCGAGGTGAGGGGAAGTCAGACTCGAAGCCATGGAAAGCTATCTTCGCGCTCCAATTCACCTGAATTTTTTCCTTTGGCCAAGCGATGAAGAATTGATGTAGCTTTTACATGCAATCTTTAGCGGAGCGAGATACGTAAATTTATCTCACCCTGGAAACCTATGTTTGCGCTCCGACTTATCTGAATTGTCTCCTCTGGACAATCAATGTAGAGTTGATGTAGCTCTTGAACCCTATTTTTTTGCGGAGCACGATATGTAAGCCCCTGACAGAGTGACAGACTGACTGACAGCAGTGAACACCGGGGGCTCGGCCCCCCCAATGGCGCTTCACACCCGGGGCCTCGCCCAAAAAAATGGTAACGTGAAGCGGCAAGCAAAGGAGAGAAATATGGTAAGAAGAACTAGTAATAAAGTGCAGAACATTGTACTCGACAGCTGCAGGAAGAGACGTGTACGGCCCCCCCTCTTCCCAGAGTGCCTATGCCACGGAGTGGAGGTTGGCTAACGAACTATGGCGACGACAGGAGCACCAATTGAGTTAATTATTGCTTTTCCTTGTCCTTGATAGCTTGAATTTTGCGCAAAGCGGACATAGTATGGTACATGGAAACTGTGACTGCCGGACAGAGGTCACACAATTTCAAAATGCCAAATGAACGGGCGACAGACCCCACGAGCCTAAGAAAAGTTATTGCTTTAACTAGCTTAGCAAAGAGCTTCACGCGCGGGCACCCCCGAGGTCAAACAGCAAAAGGATGCATGCTGGGTACAATATACGGTGGGAATTTTATTCGGAGATGACATGCCACGGGAAACAGTAGCCCGTGATGTGCCGTGCCTGTTGCAGATCGGATACCAACAATTCGTTGTTGCTATGCGTGACGTGCAAAATGCTACCATTTCTGAACTAGGCCAGCCGTTGGATGAACCAGCTGCAGAGTTTCAGGTAGTACGAGGAAACCCAGAGATGGCTGTCGTGAGGCAAACCATACGCACACTTTGCTGTGAGCCAATTTGCTTGTCGTCAGCATGGTTTTACATGGGGCCCATGTCATTGCAACATACAAAAAACCTGGGATATGGACAGCAGCGCGGAACTAGATGTGTACACAGGCACAACAGGAAATCGTCACATCATCTTGGTGTACCATGATGGTGAGTGAGACCTAACTGCATGCAAGTGGCATTTGGAGGTGGCCCCCAGCGTTGATACCGTAAAGGTTTGACCCTCCCAGGCGTATCGTAATTATTGAAAATTCCGCCGGGCGTAAATCCGTAATGTTGCGTATTTCAAAGAGAGCTTTTTCGTTTCTCAAGTTACTATTTTAAATTGTTGATAGGGAAAGCGTAATAGCTGCACCCAGGGAACGCAAGTCCCGCGTCCATCCCCTTGTAATGGGCCAGGATGACCCCTCAAACGTCAAAGCAGCCCAGATACAGGTAGTCGTAGCATTCATCAGCGCCTAGAATGTTCACAGCCCTGGCATTATCAGGTTAACGATAGTTCGACGTCGCGGCAAGCCAGATTGTGTACATGGTACCATCGGTACGCGGTACATAACCTCTCCTCCAAAGTCCCTTTCAACCAGTAGTAATCGCACGTAATCCGAAGTAACATTGTCTTTGAGACGTGAATCTCTGCCAAGCCGCCACACTGGTTATCGACGGGCCTTCGTCATCGTCCCCAAGCTGGCTGCACCCGCGCTTTGTTGTAGTCTCCGCGGTGCGCTGCTGGGTGAAGGCTCCACTGCTGGGTGAAGGCTCCACGCTGATCGCGGCACTCATCAATAAGATGCGGCCCCAGCTTCTCTAGCCTCGCCTCGGCTATGCTAAAGATCTTCCCACAGTGATTGCATTTCTTCGCGTACCTGTTGCTTTTCTTACAGTATTGCCCACAATTCATATAGTGCTTACCAAGCTCATCAGCCGGTCGGCCTGGGCCTTGTTGGCAGTGTGTTCACTGTCCATTGCCGGCTTCCGTAACTTTCTGATGTTAATTACGACAGAAGTTTACGCCGGACTGGCTAAAAGGGTACCTGGGATGCGTATTTCTAGTAATATTACGCCAGCGTAATTTGGGCGTAACATTACGGATTATGGTATCAACGCTGGTGCAGAGGGTTGCAAAGATGGGGGATTGGGGGCAGGTACTGGTCAGGCGGGATGGGGAATAGGGGTGACGATGTCAGGATGGGATGTGGGGCCCAAGGCAAGGATTAGGGATTAGGCGTGCTACACTACTTTTGGGATGGGGATTGCTGTCGTGAGTGAGGATGGGGATGGGATCCCTGTCAGAGGATTGGGAACACAGTTGGAGGATTAGGATTGGGTGTTCTGTAAAATGAGGCTGGAGGTGCAGAATTGGGAATACTGACAGGACTGCAAAACAGGCCAAGGATGAATAGTTTAGTTGTCCATAGTTGCTTGCATGGTGTGCTGTCACTTGTGGTGCATCTTACAGCGTCTGGTGAAAGTGGTGGTCGAAGCCAGTACCAAACATGCACGTTGTCGTGGTCGATTTTGCTCATACACTTCAACTCATGGGTCAGCAATATGGTAAACCAAACACCGAGAGATATCTTCGCAAAGCAAGGCACCCCTGCCCAACAGCACCATAACCAGCTGTCAAGGTATAGCCCATGCCCATGTTCACCAGCACCACATCGGGCCTCACATTACCCACTTGACACACATGAGCACATCTCACCAAAAGCGGCCCCTGCAGGCTGCACCACTGCTGTCTGCCAAAGGCATGGCCATCATCAGTGCATGCACCACCCCCCCCGGGATTGGAGGATTAGACCCTTTTTGCAACCCTCTGAGCGAGGTAATGCCTTAGGTGTATATTGCACAGGGGAGCGGATAAGCAAACTGTGTGGAGAGAATAGGATGAGTTTTTGTGCGAAGGTGTGTGCTCGGAGGCAACAGGCAGGTTATTTTTGTCACTTTGTCTTACCAGCGATTGGAATTTCCCATGTTTTGAGGTTTCGCTGGTTTGGTGTCTGGTGGTACCGCCGGTTCCATTGCCGCTGGATCTGGACTTAGTTCGATTAGTACTTCCTGCAATCCGTTGCAGCACCCCCGGTCATTAATAACTTGTTGGTATCGCTCGGTTGGTCCGTTCCGTGTGTTTTTGCAGCTTGCCCAGGTTGCCATGTCCCGGGTTGGTGCTAAGACCTGGCAGTTTTTGCTGCTTTGTGTTGCGGAAGGCCTGAAGTTATTTCCGGCATACCGGGCGCTGGGCTCGAAACGTCATTCAGTGGGCCGAGGCCCCTGGGTTCACTGCTGTCAGTCAGTCAGTCCGTCATGGTGTAACATTTGTTCTTATTTCACCCCGCTTTAAACTGCATCTGAAAGCTATTCTGATTCTCTATTGATAAACCAAGGGAATGAATTCAGGTAAATTTGTGGGCGAAGTTAGCTTACCAGGGTGAGATCAATTAACATATCTCACTCCGCTAAAGGTTGCATGTAAAAGCTACATCGCTTGGCTGGTTGTTGAGCAGACCTCTACCCGAAGGAGCGATGATAACGGCACCAAGAAAGCGTTTGATGAGCGGCTGGGACCATACGCGTCTGACTGTCTTGCCAGAGGAGTTCCCATCAGATGGGAAGCAACCGGGAGTGCAAATGGCGGAGTATAAGCACTGGATGGGGCTGCCCTTTTCGGGAGCCGCAGCCATCATGTGGCCAACACATGCTAAGGTTTTCATTCCTCGTTTGGCACATCGTAAGCTAATGCAGTTTCGTTTATGTTGCTGGGCTTTGGAGGCAAACAGAGCATGAAGGGGCAAGTACCATGTCCCCAGGGGGCAGCGGTTTTGCCACTGTTGTGGTACTAATCGCCGAATTGCGGATGAAAAACACGTGTTATTGGAATGCCCAGCCTATAATGATATTCATGCTGAGAGGGATTCGATAATCAACAGAGCATGTTGGAGGCCATGCAGTGGGAACCCGCACATCTGGCGAGGATGTTGGAACGTATGTGGGCTCACCTAAACTCAATTACCCCCTCTGGGCTGATGTGCGGTGTTTTCCTTTTGTCCGTGGCTTTTAGGCGTTGTAGTATTGCCCTTGGGCCTTCGGCTCGTATGGGTAGTTTTACAGGTATGGAGTCACGCACCCCCCAACCATGTAACACACACACACATCGCTTGGCCAAAGGAGAACATCCAGGTAAATTGGAGCACGAAGATAGCTTTCTATGGTTTCGGGTTTGACTGCCCCTCACCTCGCAGCCCTTGCCTCTGTCGTCGTTGCATGTCCCTTACATTATAGATTCATAAGCAAACGGCATGATCCTTTAAGGGGTTGGTTCCTTCATGCTTGGCAATTTAGACTGACCCATCGCATGCTCTAAGCACCTCCCTCCTGGCGTCTTGCTCGTGCCTGTTTGATTGTTGTACTTCTTACGTCAGTAAAATTGGAAGTCACCTATAGGCCGGGCCATCGCCTAATAGGTAGGACCGCGGAATATGTGGAGTATAGGTGATTTCGCGTATATGATCGTATACATCACACCTATAGGCGATCTGTTGTATACAGCATGGTCTATAGGCCTGTAGGCTATAGGTTACCATGTGTACGCATGCAAAACTGTGAGAGCCTAATAGTCCGTTGTATAAAGGTATGCCTTTTTGTAGGCCACTCGTGTATACAGTGTTCGGGGCAAAGCTGCACTAGCTGCTGCGTGCGAAACACCTTTGACCTCCCTTAAAATGCTGCAAACTATGAGGTCTGTGCATATGAACCGTTTTGTATTCACCCGTCATGCCGAGGCACATGCATCGATGGAGTCCATGCAACGCCGTCAGGCACCCCTCGTCATTAAGACCTGCTAGGAAGACCTCCTATTCGCGCCAGTTGCACCGCAAACGCCTACGAATTTCCACAAGTATTAAACTGTTAATAATTCTCGTATTCTTAGGTATCACGCGTGTGTATGCTTTGAAAATACAAAAGTTTTGCGACCGAAACTAGTTTCTGGCTTGCCGGGGTGGCAAGGTCTAAACCTCTTTTCCAAAAGCACTGAAATGAGTTCTGCAAGGTTATAATCTTTTCGGGTCTTTTGCTTGATAAATGCATTCCGATACGGCGGTGACAGGAGGTGGCATCTACGTCGACTTGAAGGCAACCCTAAGACCAATGGGATGAACTAACAGATTTAAATTATGTTTCTTGGCTGCGCTAAGTATTTTCCTAGGCGAGAAGTTCATGGTCTGCTGCCGACCCAACCTCCGGTACGACAATGCTAGACAAACGTAGCAGATGTTCATAAATGACTTTTATGTTTATGTCAATATTATTGCTATAGAGGCTCTGGACCGGACGGGTGTAAGATGTGCGTTGGTCGACGCGTTGGCCTTACGAAGAAGGAGAAAAACGCGAAGAGAACACGTGAATTCATATGCATAAGTCATGGATGGCGACGTTTTACGCTCTGAATGGTGATTCCTGCTTTTGTGTTCGGTTCTGGACCTCACATGTTGTCGTACCGGAAAATTTCCCTCCTGTACGGCGGTCACAGGAGGTATCTAGGTCGACTTGTATGCAAAACAATTACACCTAGGGATCATATGGCGGTTGCATTGCATGTTTCTTGGCCGCAGCCAGCAGCAAACTCAAATGGAGTTGGGCCATTTGCCCAGAGGCTGCCGCATGGACGACAAGCCAGGCTAACGCAGCTGATGTTCATGAGTGCCCTTTAGATTTTAAGTATAAAGGCTGGAACGACCCCTTTACATTCAGCGTTAAGTACTACCGGTAAGGTGCGACCAATACTCACGTGAGATCCCGGGATCGAACCACGGTAAAGGAGTGTGCAATTTCAAATGTATAGACACTTCAAGGATAATGATGCAATAAGAGAGGTAGTGAGGTCGCGCGATCGATGAGAGCGATGACTTGGGTAACTAAAGGGTGACTCGTAAGAAAAGCCTATTATGCGATGCCTGTACAGGTCCTATTATAGGGAATCATGTATACTTGCGTCTATATAGGCAATGTCGTTTACAACATCAAGTGTATACATACCTGTATACCGCATAGCCTAAACATCCCTTGCTACAGGTTATGATGTAAAAATGTACTTATATTACTATGCCATACATGATCGTATATTAGGCCATCACTTACACATGCGCCTCTTATGCTTAAGCCTTTAAGTCTCGTATAATATGTGTACACCTTACTGGCCTATATACCTTTCACCTATTTTCCCGAATATCTCGCCTATACAATGCCCGAAAAAATACAGACGTATTCTCTTCTTTATTCATTCAATCCAAGTATAAACGAGGTGTGCCTTTGTGACACACTATCAGCTTTGCCGCTGCATTCCGACTTTAAAATGTGCAATTGGAACGATTCTCGAATGCGTTCTGGCTGGGACAACAATTGCTCCATGAAGCAAGGGCACTTTGGTGCTCCTTGGACTGCCAGCCAGCAGACCGAACATGGATGCGACGGTAGTACCGCCTACTTATCTGGCAGTCCCGACAGAGCTCTCCGTTGGGCGGGGCATGGCCCATGAAGTTGCCCCTGGTATTCCGGATACGGAGTTCACCCATGCAATCAAACAGAGACACAAAACGTTCCACGTCTGGGCCCATGTAAACCACGACACTTCCGTGTGGATTGGCTACAGGTGCCTGTCTTGAATATCCAGCAACGAGTTGGCAATCTGTCAAAACTGTGAACTGTACCCCCGAACAAGCTGCTCTGCACTGAAGAGACACACCATCTCTGCTGATCTGTACATCAATACACACCAATTGGGTCAGCATAAACCATGTGTCACACGAGTGAGGCTCAGCTTGTCACGTGACTCACTGGAATCCAAAATCGTAGTCACCACATTGCTTGCACATGTAAAGCTTCCCTCCACCCTCTGTTGTCTATGGCCTTAGACAGTAAGGCCCGGTACGCTCCCTATCAGTGCCGTGGCGGCACGAAACAAGGAGAGCTGTAAATCCTCTGCATGGGAGGGGGTGTATGTAAGGACACACGGTCTCTCAAAACACCGTTTTCGGCACTGCACAGGGACATCGCCGCCCTGTTTGACACAGACTCGCGATTTTCTCTCTGTAACCAATAGTCCAAATTTCTCACCTCGGAACAAGTCCCATGCCGCAACAACGGAGTGCACGCCGAGAACTTCTTCAAACTGGCGCACAGCATCCACCCGTTCGTCGTTCACATCCAGCGCCTCGTGGAGGCACCTTGTGAGAGCCGCCATTTCAGGCTATAGATGCAGTAGAGAATTACCGGAACCCCTAGTGAAGCGGATGGTTGCAAGTGCACCAAGTGCATTTGCATGGTGGGAACACGTAAAGCAAGAAATGACGCACCGCGTCGTTAGGACTGCGTGTCCGCTGGTCCCGGGCATCTCCATCGTCCACAATATCCTCCAGTGTGACATCGATCGCGGCCATTTGCTCACCGCTCCTACATGACAGCAACCTAGCTTCTAGATAAACATCGCTACACAATGAAATTGGGTAGTTATGTAATACTATTGTAGGGTTCGCGACTATGACATGCTTGTGACTCAAGCCTACATGGCTGCCCAACTCTTGTTGTACGGAAGCGTGATGCATCGCATTAAAGCATAACAGTGCACATCACCAGAAGTGCTCTTGGCATAGTTATACATCTCTGTGTCGTTATTGCGCCATCTCTGTGGCGTGTTCCCTTTTGAAAGCTGAAGTCATTTACACAACAGGGAAGGATTTCTGAACATCCTTTTAACCCAGTATACTAATTATATCAAAACATATTATCACCGTAGGTCTTGCGTCGAACGGTGGTTAATGAACCAATGGTGCATTCATGGAAATATTTCAGAGCGGAGAAGTCTCAGCCCTCTGCTCTGGAAGTCCTGAAGAAAAGCCGGCTTGATTGCAGAGTCTGTGGACGCCAGCACACGGTTAACTCATGTTACTGTGGCCACCCAGCGCCATGCACGGTTCTGTATCCACAGTGGTGTGTTCAGGCGCGTGTTTACATCTCTTCGTCTGGTTGAATGATTGGATGAATGATTGGATGAATGAATGCACACACACACACACACACGCACGCACGCACGCGCACGCACGCACACGCGCACGCACGCACGCACGCACGCACTCACGCGCGTGCGCACGCATGCACGCAGGCACGCACGCAGGCACGCACGCACGCAGGCACGCAGGCACCCAGGCACGCACGCACGCAGGCACGCACGCACACACGCACGCACGCACGCACGCATGCACGCACGCACGCATGGCAGGCACGCACCGCACGCAGGCAGGCACGCACGCACGCAGGCACGCACACACTCACGCACGCAGGCACGCACGCACGCATGCACGCACGCACGCAGGCACGCAGGCATGCAGGCACGCAGGCACGCATGCACTGCAGGCACGTAGGCACGCACGCACCACAGGCACGCAGGCACGCACGCACGGCAGGCACGCACGCAGGCAGCACGCACGCACTTACGCACGCAGGCACGCACGCACTCACGCACGCATGCACGCACGCACGCAGGCACGCACGCAGGCACGCACGCACGCAGGCACGCAGGCATGCAGGCACGCAGGCACGCATGCACCGCAGGCACGTAGGCACGCATGCACCACAGGCACGCAGGCACGCACGCACGGCAGGCATGCACGCACGGCAGGCACGCAGGCACGCAGGCACGGCAGGCTCGCAGGCACGCACGCACGGCAGGCACGCACGGACGCACGCAGGCACGCACGCACGCACGCACCCACGCACGCACGCACCCACGCACGCATGCACGCACGCACGCACGCACGCACGCACATACACACACGCACACACACACACACACAAACACACACAAACACACACACACACACACAAACACACACACACACACACACAAACACACACACACACTAACACACACTAACACACACACACAAACACACACACACACACACACACAAACACACACACACACAAACACACAAACACACACACAAACATACACACACAAACACACACACACAAAAACACAAAAACATAAACACAAACACAAACACAAACACACACAAGGAATGTATTAATGAATGAGTACGGAGGACGGTAACCAGGCGTGTAGGGTTCCAGCCACTTCCTGGCCCATGACAGAATCAAAACCAACACAGTAGTTACAGATTTTTGGGCGGGGCCCCAGCACGGGCATTCCGACTTGCCACCAGCAGGCCGACAAATTTGCTTACATTTTTCTATGAAATACGCAAGCTGCTCATTTGTACATTTACTTTAGCCAATGCTCGGGGCCTCCGGAGACTTGCGGTGGGCCGCGATGAAGCTCGCGGCTGTGGGGCGGATTGCTGAGGACGCTGACACTTCGGGGATAAACATCACAGACCGCACCGAAATCCACCCAGCTTTCGTTACCATTTGCCCGCACGGGCATTCCGACTTGCGGTCTGCCGCACTGTCCATGCGGCATGCACCCAGGATGGATGCGATTCGCGTGGAGCCCGCAGGCGGTGCTGACGATTCCGCGGGTGCAAGCTTAGCTCTCACACCATCGATTCTGGATGCCTGCCTGAGAGTTTCCGGGCCGACCTCGCAATTGGTCGAAATTGCTCCATAGAAGGGTTGAAATTGGCACGGGGTCTACACCTGGGACAAGTTAAATTGCCGGGACAGGCCCTTGAATTGGCCTGACAGGGACACGAATTGGCCTGGCCGGGACATTCCAACAGTCAGGATTAGCCTGACAGGGACACGAATTGGCCTGGCAGGGACATTCTGGCAGTCAGGATTAGCCTGTCGGGGTGTCGAATTGGCCTGGCAGGGACATTCGGACAGTCAGGAATTGGCCTGTTCGGGGTGTCGAATTAGGGAAGCACAGGAATTGTGCGACCGGGGCAGTCCAAAGAATTGCCCTCCCCGACCTTGTGTCCTACCCTCTATCCCGCCTCATGGATTTTGCGCAGCAGCGGCAGATCACGTTGGCGCAATGACACTCCTGATTTGTAGTTAGTTGAGAATCTCATTAACACGTGTGTACTCCAAGCGTCACGGCGTTCTTGTGCTTGCACTCCTATGCCGTACGGACTGCCCTGCGAATCAAGCGGGGGTCAAGTGGCTGCACCGGGGCGAGCCCCTTTTCGGCTTTGAAAAGCCGCCCCCCTAGTCAGTGCCATGAGATCCATGAGCTCCGTGTCTGACTTGCTCGGTTATCCAGGAGCCCTGTGTTGGAGACAGTCCCTGCTGGCGGTTGAGTGCATTTCCAGCATTCCGTTGCTCTGTCGGCCTTTCTTTGTGGTTTTTAATGCAGGTGATGTGTGGCTTCTTTGACCTGTTGGTCGTTGTGCCCGTTGGCGCGGAGGTACCTTGACTTTGTTGTTTGTCGTGTTAGGTTTCTGTCTTTTCTTCGTCCGTATTCTCTGCTGTTGGTGCTCTCGGTGACCTGGGTGCGTGGAGCGGTCGTCGTTGCAGAGCCGGTGTTTCAGTTCAAGCCCTAGTTGACCAGGTGGTCACCCCTGAGCGGGCACATACTTTGGGCTTTTCGCTCGCCTGTGGTCCCTTCCTTTAGTGGGCGTCCGTCAGCGTCTGTTGAGTGATCCGTCGCGGGTGCGGCGGGTCAGTCTGTGCACGGTTGGGGAGCGCTGGTTTGGCCTAGTTCTTGTACAGTGTGGTTGGTGCTTTGCGTTCAGTTTGTCCGCTCCTTTGCCTGTGTAGAGGGTGCGTCCGCCGCCTTTGCTACTGGGGAGCCGTTTGGAGGTCGTTGAGGATTTTGGCTTCAGAATCTCTGTTCGTTTCGGTGTACGCGCCTGTCTGGCAGCTCTCGCGTCCTTCGGCCCTCTTGCGGGTCGGTGCGTTGCGCCGTTTTGAGGTTCAAGTTTTTCAACCGTCAGAGGGGGTTATCTTCTCTTTTGGCATTTTGTCTCTGAAGCAACAACTAATGCGAGCTTGCGTTAAGTAAGCTGGGTTAGTTGGGCGTAAGGCCCAGTGCGTAGCTGTTAGACTAACTGTTTCGCGACGGCCGTGATTTATTGCGCATTTAGCTGATGATGTTGTCTTGTATTTGTTGTTCAACGCACGCCCGCCTGCCCGCCCGTTCTCGGCGCAGCCCGCGTTAGTGAGTTGCGGTGTCTCTTTCTCTGTTCGTAAGGCCTGTCTTCTTCGGGCTTCTCAGTCCTTTTCTCTCTTCCATTATATGTAACAAAAAATGACAGTTTGTCTCTGAAGCAGCAACCAATATTAAAATTTATGGCGGTCCCCCGGCCGGTTTGGTCATGAGAATCTTCCTCTCCAGCGCTGCTTTTCTTCTTTCCAATGTTCAGCAAATACGCCTTCTTTTCTAAGTTCAGCAATTATTCCTATGGAAAGGCATAAACAACGCGTTATTTAAACGATAGCTTTTGCAATATGCCGAAATTCGGTAATATACGCCAGGCGTAAAATTTGAGTTTTTTGCCAAACGGCGATATCCGGTAGTACGCCAGGCGTAAGATTTTAGACGTACAAATACGTCGGAAAGGGCCAAACTAATACGGTTCCAACTCTGCCCGTTAACCACCCATTCGGTCTGCCCATGCAACCGGCCTGTACGAAAATACAGGAAGCCCCGCCATTTCCTGGTGAAGCAAGCCGACATCTGGTGTTGACCAGGCTGCTAAGTATAGGGCCCGCCGCATATAGTAGTGCATTTTTGTTCCTTAGCTCTTCCGAAATAATACAACGCCTTATATATCTAATCTGCCAGCATTGAAAAACGTGTCGCATTTTTAACATAAGATGGTCTATTGGTTGGTGTCTCTGCAGCTGCATAACAAGAGGAAAGATGCAGTCTGGGAGTTATTACAGGAGAGGACTAGCGCATCTATGCTCTGCACTAACTTCAAGCTAGATATTCCAGGGTTGCGCGTTGGCACCCTTGATTCTCTTATGGCTCTCAGCGACGAGCTCAGCAAGAGCTCTACTATGATTGAGGCGGTCCTTGCGAAGGTCAAGCGCCAGGTTAATGAATCAGGTGGAGCAAAGGCCATGGCGGCCCTCACAGTAGAGGGTGTTTCCACGGACTTGTACGTGCAGCGATTCCATTGGGACGATGCCAAGTTTCCGACAAGGCGACTTCTGAAGGATATGGTTGATAAAATAACCGAATTGGTCAGTCGGATTGATGACGACTTAAAGGTATGTTGGTATGGACAGACACTTGTGATGCTTTCAGAAGGTCCATCTCATGCGCTCTGTCAACAGGTTAAAGTGAGCGAGCTTAACAATCTTAAGAGCCAGATGAGTCAAGTGACACGTAAGGCGCAAGGCAGTCTTGCAGTCCGTGACGTTGCAACGGTCGTCAAACCTCATCATATCATCGATACGGAGCACTTAGCGACTGTTTTTGTCGTTGTTTCCAAGTTCGCCTTGAGGGACTGGGAGGATAGCTACACAAAGATGGCCAATTTCGTTGTAAGTTGTGTGCGCATGCAGCCTTTATGGATATTGTGCTGTAAAGGCGCAAGGTTTTGAGGTGTTGTATACTATGACAGATTTCCTCCTTCTCGGGACAGGTGCCCAGATCGTCAACAACTGTTGCCGAGGATAATGATTACGCGCTCGTGACCGTTGTGCTTTTTAAGCGGGTAATTGATGACTTCAAGGCGGCTGCCCGGACTAAGGGATATCAGGTGTGTCGTTGGGTTTCTGTTTTCGGTGACGGGTTGGTTTCGCCTGTGTAATATTATTTCTTTTACCTAGCTCCCAAAGCGTGGTCCAGTGCCGGTTGCAGTATGCCACGGTGAGCTGCGATTACATGCCAGGGAAGCAAAGTGCTTAGGGGCCACTAAAGTCCCGCATGCCTGTATGGTGAACATAGGTAGATGATTAGCATTTCAACAGCGCATTCAGTGGGGTGGGGTGATCAGACTGACTGGATAAAATGCTCATTATCGACAGCGTATATTGCTTGGCTCGATTTTTTCATGTAAACTGACAATCCGGCCTTGCTTTCGGCCTGGGATAACGTAATCGGCCCCAGCGATAGCGTTGGAAGCAAGTACGTGTTTTTTTGTTTTTGCGCTGGTAAGCATGCACATGGTGCTGCTGCACTCCAATATGGAACTGCTGTAGTCATTGATCTCTGACTTGTTGCCTTAAGACACACACACTAAAAGCAGGGGCATTATGGTTACTAGAGCTCCATCTGCCTAGCTTAAAGGAAATTAGTAGCTGAGCAAATGTGCCACCTAATTTGCACTAGTGATTTGATGAATCGGGGCATTGGCGTCAAAGCTCCTACACTCAGGTGTTGTGAATGGGCAATGAATGCAAGCCTTCCTTCATGCTCATGAAGTTTTTTGCATTGACGTCTGTAAGATGGAGCACATGATTTTAGGACCTTTCCAGATAGATAGCCCAGCATCAATAAAGGTGGGGCTATATTGTTTTACGGCATTACCACAACCCGCCTATCCTTCAGGTCAGGGAGTACAACCCTCCTGCAGAAGGCGCGGAGCTGTCATTGGCGCAGATCGAGCAGCTGAAGCACGATATGGAGCAGAAGAAAACTGACGTGGAGCAATGGTGCAAGACGGCTTACAGCGAGGTTAGTGCGGGAGGCGCATACGCATACTACCAACCTAGTGGAACCTCATGTGATACATTTGTATGCACCACAATAGCATGCTTATGGGCCTTTCCAGCAACCAGATATGACGTTTGGTACCGAGGCGTATCCATAGTGAGTTATACAGGTGTCGGTTTGTTAAGGTAATTGTATTTAGCTGCAGCTTTCCAAGGCAATCTTGGGCACAAGTAGTGCCGCGGACCGGAAGAAGTGACTTTGTACACCGCGGGCATGACGTGGCGTGGTTCGTCCCGAGCTTCTAAAAAAGAGGCAGGTGGCAGGCACATGCTGGTCAGGCTGTGAGGCACCGAGGCACAATTTTTGTGTAAAGCGCTATTTGCACATCAAGGCATTTTTGGACGCCAGCTTTTGCCATACAGTAGTATTGAACATGGCCATACTAATGAAATTTAGGTTTTCAGGCACACAGCACATTTGCGCGATTCATCTTACTTGGACTGCATTGCAGGTTTTCAGCTGCTACATGCATATGCTCGTAGTGCAGCTCTTCGTCGAGAGCATTCTGCGGTACGGGCTTCCGCCCAACTTCCAGGCGGCTGTCGTGCGGCCACAGGACAAAGCCGAGGGCAGGCTGCGGGCAGAATTGGAGGCTACGTTCGGCAGTGGTAAGATCATGCAAGTCATCCGTTATTGTCAGTACCAGTCCATACGTAGCCACATTTCGAATTTTCCCCTTCTCGGGTTTTTTAGTGCTCCTTAACCAAACGTTCGGAGCCAGTGCGGATGTTCTGTGCCTAGTTGTATGTTGGACTTTCTGTCGTGTGCGTGGCTCACACAAGGTTTATCGAACGTCAAGTCTGAACCTCCGTGGCCATAAACGCAAGGCGTTGAATAAGCCAGGTCATCACATGCATCCTATAATGAACGGCATATTCCTTCGCTGCCGCACCTGGTGTCATCTCCAACTCCCAAGGCACACATTGAATTGGCTAGCTAATTAAAGGAACGTCGCCGGGCAAGCTTGTACCCTGTTCGAAGTGTCCTGCGAAGCCTCAGGCCTCATGGGCATTCAAGGGATTTTAAGGGATGTCAAGGGATTTCCGTATTATTTTTCCTAAGGCCCATGGCTATCCGTTTATTTTGGCCCGAAATTGTTTACGCAGGGAAGACACATTACTGGAGGGATGATGGGTCCAGCCTGGGGGCTGGCCTGGTTGGCGACGCGGAATTACATCCATATGTATCCCTCACCGTCAATATGGACTTAGCAGCGGGGTACGCATAATGGAGTACCCACAGGTACAGATGATTCTCCATGGCATGCCAGGAGCTTGGTTTCGGTGTATGCACGTAGCTAGGAACTTGTTCCATGCATCTATTATATTATGGAGATTGACGGAACAGCTCGGCATTACCCCCAGACCGCTATTGTCACAGGTCGAAAGTGGATGGTTGTGTACGCTATGGTATGCATTCCAACCTGTGTATGCACCTCTTGCCAGGAAAGCGCAAACTTGACACAAACGGGCTGGAGAATGGGTTTTAGGGCTTGTAAACCCTTAGTAACATTCGTGCATATGCTATTTGTGGCATGCATATTATAGACGAATAATGTCCGGAATGAACTCTGCATTGTAGGTGATTGATCTGTGATGAACAAGTATGTGTGTGTGTGTGTTACATGGTTGGGGGTGCGTGACCCCATACCTGTAAAACTACCCATACGAGCCGAAGGCCCAAGGGCAATATCTGTACGCCTAAAAGCCACGGAGAACAGGAAACACCGCACTATCAGCCCAGACTGTCGCCCAAAGGGGATAACTGAGTTGTGGTGAGCCCACATACGTTCCAACAGCCTCGCCAGACGTGCTGGTTCCCATTTCATGGCCTCCAACATGCTCTGTTGATGATCGAATCCCTCTTACGCACGAATAGCATTATGGGCTGGGCATTCCAATGACATGTGTTTTCATCCTCGATTTGGCTTTTAGTACCACAACAGCGGCAAAACCGCTGCTCCCTGGGGACATGGTACTTGCCCCTTCGTGCTCTGTTTGCCTCCAAAGCTTAGCAACACAAACGGAACTGCATTAGCTTACGATGTGCTAAACGAGGAATGAAAACCTTAACATGTGTTGCCCACATGGCGAAAAGGGCAGCCCCATCCAATGCTTAAACTTCGCCATCTGCATTCCCAGTTGCTTCCCATCTGATGGGTACTTCTGGCAAGACAGTCAGACGCGCATGGTCCCAGCCGCTCACCAACCGCTCCCTCAGTGCCGTTATCATGGGGTGGAGTCTACACAACCACCAGTCAACACGCTCCTTTACCCCCATGACTTCTTGTGTAGCAGCCGGTACACAGTACGGCGCTACAAATACGCGCAGAGCGCGACCACCAGCAACTCGAGAGACCTTTTCAGCGGTCAGCTGCTACATTTGGTATCGAGACCTCGTGAAAATTCAGCTGCTACATCTTGCGGTATTCCGCTCCACATATTGCACTCCAAGAAGGAAAACTGTCGTAACATTGAGGTTCCCCAACCCTCGCAACGTAAACCAGACCATAAACGATGGAAGTTGCAAAGTAAGAATAGCCTCACCAGTACCTCAGAAGAGCCCGTCGCCTCTTTAATGAACAGGGGATGGCCCTGCACCCGATCTCCAACCAAGCCTCGACACCAGGGTTTGGGTAACAGACTCAATGGACGGCACCATCGCTGCCCTAGATTCTGGATTCGGAGGCAACAAAAGAGTAGCCGCCTGTCGCCAATGCACCGGGATATTAGCTAAGAGATCGACAATGGCATTCATGCATTCGTGCCACTTACGAAAGGTGCAAAGAGATTGAGCTAGTGGGGGTCCGCGGTTGGAGGTATTGGTCTACTATTTGATGCCACGCCCTGCGCATTGCTAGGCCTGCCTGTTCCGGTGTGAGCATAACCACATGGAAAGCATCTCGCGCAAGAACATCCCCCAACGTTTTCAGAGCTTATAGCCCAGGAGTGCTTGGTGTGGAAACTCCAGTCCTGGGTGGATGTTAACTGACGGGACATTCGATCTCTTTTCCGGAAGAACAGGGTTTTCCCACAGAGGCAAATTCCAACACCACGCATTGGGAACTAACAGATGAACATCAACATTTTCAACTGGGGGGAAGTATGCCAACGCTGTGACAATGCGTTGAACATCTGTCGGTAAAACGATTATCCCAAACCAAGGCACTCCCACCTGGGACGTAAATAAACACATGGGACTGTATGTCGGGCAAAGGGCATGCAGGAAAGAGTGCATGATCAAGACCCATGGCGGCCGTATTAAGACTGGCTGGATTATTGCCCTCACGAAACGCACTGCCCGGCACGCCCAACGCGGTTGTACGTGTTCTCGAACTGCTAATGCCCCAAAACCGCGCAAAGTTGGATGGCCATATAACAAGTGTTTAGGAACCCTAGTGAGCCGTCTGTCATGTGCAGCTGGGCCCACGTTCCTATCAATAAGCTTGGCAGCTCTAGCCTCAATATTAATTAGTTTCTTCTGGGGGATTTCCCCCGTGCTCGATATGCCACGTAAAACGATGCAGCCCATCGGCCGCCGCTGCCTGTGCACGCCCAAAAATGGAAAGGTGTAGCATGGAAATGCGTTGGAACCGAGCCCAGACTTTGTCCAATTGCACATCCCAGTCCATGACTGTGGTGTCTCTCACATCCGTAAAAGGCAAATTGAGCGCCGCTGCAATGTGTACCACCTTCATGTCATGAGTTATTTTAACTTCGTGTGGGTGGTTACCGACAGGTAAAAGCTCAACCTTATCCAGGTTAAGCTGCTGTCCAGAGGCCTGCACGTACACCCGAATACAATCAAGACTAGGGGGGCGGCTTTTCAAAGCCGAAAAGGGGCTCGGCCCCGGTGCAGCCACATGACCCCCGTTTGATTCGCAGGGCAGTCCGTACGGCATAGGAGTGCAAGCACAAGAACGCCGCCACGTTTGGAGTATACACTTGTTATTGAAATCCTCAAACAATAAAGGTCGGCAGACTTGCGACAGCGGTGTAGACCTGTCTGGATTGTCGCAAGCGTGCAGCCGCCATAGCATAATCATTATTGACTGAACAGTTAGCCTTCTCGTGATGCGGCAATCCGTAGAATGACATACACACAAAGCAGGAGTGTCACTGCGGCAACGTGTGTTGCCGCTGCTGCGCCAAATCCATGAGGCGGAACTGCCCTATTCGACGCCGGCCCTTCTGCTGGCTGGCAGTTCAAGGCGCGTCAAAGTGCCTGTGCTTCATGGACCAATTGTTGTCCGCTCCCAGCCAGAAAGCATTCAGGGATCGTTCCAATTACACATTTTGAAGTCGGAATGCAGCGGCAAAACTGATGGTGTGACGCAAAGGCACACTTCGTTTGAACTTGGATTGAATGAATAAGACGGACAACAATCAAACAGGCACGAGCGAGACGCCAGGAGGGAGGTGCTTAGAATGTTGCCATGGGTCCGGTCTAAAGTTGCCGAGCATGAACGAACCAACCCATAAAGGATCATGCCGTTTGCTTATGAATCTATAATGTAAGGGACATGCAACGACGTCAGAGGCAAGGGCTGCGGCGCGAGGGAAATCAAACTCGAAGCCATTGAAAGCTGGGGGCCTGGCTGCAGCCGCGGCGGGTCGGCTGGTCAGCGGCCGCCGCCGCCGGGCGGCAAGGCAGCCGGCGGATGGCGGCTGCCGACATGGCCCGCTGTGGGCGCTGGCAATTCCGCCTGCGCAACGGCCCGACCTGGGCGGCCCCGCCCTCCTCCGCGCCCTCTGCTGGGGGGCCGGCCGCGGCCGTGGCGGATCAGCTGGTCAGGGGCCGCCGCCGCCGGCGGGGACGCGGGCGGCAAGGCGGCCGGCGGATGGGGGCTGCCGACATGGCCCGCTGTGGGGCTGGCACCTCCGCCTGCGCAACGGCCCGACCTGGGCGGCCCCGCCCTCCTCCGCCAAACTCCGCCATGGAAAGCTACCTTTGTCGCTCTCCGATTTATCTGGAATTTCTCCTTTGGCAGGTGGATGTAGAATAGATATAGCATTTAAACGCTATTTTTTGCGGGGCGAGATATGTAAGCCACTGACTGACTGATTGACAGCAGTGAACCCGGGGGGCTCGGCCCCCCGAATGGCGCTTCGCGCCGGGGGCCTCGCCCAAAAAGCTGGAATTGCCTCCATTCCCTCTTCCGTATCATCAGCAAATGTAACGCTGTAAGCTTTTCTGTATTTATTTGGGGTAGGGGAATCCCCACTAGGTTGTGCTGTGACCAGCATAGAAACGCCTGCGCGGCAAACAAGTATAGGATCGGTGCCAATGGACATCCCTGCCGCACACCCGCTGTAAGAGCAACTTCACGAGAAATGAAGCCATTATCTACCGCCTTCGACGCTGTATCGGATAAATGAAGCCTGGCCCAACTAATTAAACCTGTTCCTGCCCCCATAGCATTATTGCTTCAAACAAAGAAGTACGATCTAAAGAGTGGTAAGCTTTAGCAATATCCAAAAAAGTCAGGAGACACGACTGGCCTGTCCTGGCCATAAGGTGCGGTAGATGCTGCAGGAAAAAAGAACATTAGCGCCTATCAAGCGCTCCGGCAGAAAGGCCGACTGCTCGAGCGTGATACGTCGCCCTAATATTGGACGCAGCCGATGAGCTAAAATTTTGCCAAGAATCCTGTAAACTGTGCCCAACAATGTAATCGGCCGATAACTACCCGGCGAAGCGGGAGATCCCCGATTTTTGTAAATAACTGTGATAACAACTTTGCAAGAAGCCAACTGGGAGCGTTTTGGTTTGGCCAATGGTTGTGTATAGTTCCACAAGAATTGGTGCAATCTCGTTCCGACACACCTTGTATAATTCAATTGGGATGCCATGTAGACCGGTGCTTTGCCTGGCGTCGCTTCTTTGAGAACCGCTTCCACTTCAGCGTCAGACACCTCCGATCTCCCTACATCACACGCATCCACCTCCGGAATGACAAGGTGGCGGTCCCTCAGCGCCCCTATAACAGCCATTCTAGCCTCTTCAATCACATGGGTTGCGGAGGAACAAATCTCTCCCCAAAAGTTCGCAACCATTTGTGGCAACTTCGTCGTATGTGTAATAAGACGGCCCGTTCTGTCTTGCAACGCTGAAATAACTTGTAGAGCCTTAGACGGGTACACCAGGGTTGTTAGCCCTCTATTAGGTCGTTCACCCACACGAATCCACTGTAACCAAACCTGCGCCACCTCCGCTGCACCTTCAGCTCTAACCGCTTGTACAACCGCTACCCGGGCGTCAATTGCCGCTTGGATCCTCTGTGCACCCGTATGTCCGGTCTGCACTGCTTCCACAGCCTTTCTTGCATTTCCCGTCGCCAAACGTACTCACCACCCCGGGGGGAAACAACGTTCTCGCGCGTGCCGATAAAGAATCATTACTTGATTGAACATACGATGCTTACACAACGGCCACCAGTCTAGCAAAGCTGCTGTGTCTGTCTTAGCGGGCCTCTGCGCACACTCATCATAAATCCATTGCAAAAACCTTCCCTCCAAGTCAGGAAAATCTAAAAAATGCGTTTGCAACCGTGGAAGCCCTGGACCACGCGCTCTCACAAGTCGAGGTAATAAAGTAATAATAGCCAGGCGGTGGTCCGTCCAAGTACACACTGGAATGGTAGCGGAAGCAATGAAGGGGGCGAGGTTTGTGACCCTCCCGACACACCTGTTTTTACACTCTTTGTGACCCTCCCGACACACCTGTTTTTATACAAATAAGAAAGGTCGCGGCGGGTAGGGTGAAGGTAACGAAACGTGTCTACCATATCAGGGCAGCATTCGGAGAAAGCCGTGGCTATAGACAAGTCCGCGGGTCTACTCCCTTCTCCTGTGATGGAACATCGGAGTATGGACGAAATTAAAATGCAGTGTTACTGGCCTCCTCACCCCCTACCGTGGAGGCGGAGAGGAAGGGATTCGAAACATAGACACATTACTGTGAACACGCTTTCCAAGCGAGCGCATAAACCACTCGGCCACCTCTCCTAAAGGGATACCTACTACATCAGGGCCTTCTAAGCCTACTATCCTGATGAAACGACCGGCTATTTCCTCTTATCTCTAATATTCTTAAAATATCTTCCACTAACTTATCTTTGGGCCCTCTTTTTAAAATCTCAAAAGCTCTACTGCGAAAGGTATCGTCCGCATTTTCTGACATGTGCCCACGAGTTCATGCCTGGCATGCTCCCAATGCGACTAAACAAGGTGACGAACCTTTTAAACGGCAGGGCCCATATAGGCAATGACACTGCCGTGTGGATTCTGTGCACGGGCTCCCCATTGAAGCTCATCACTAGTGCCCACCTGCTGGACAAACGAAAGGCGCTCCTGGAGAAAGCACACTAGCCAGTTCAGCACATCATTGAACCAGCTGTAGCCTAAACCTGCCTTCAATAGCACCACGGCCTGCCTCACGTTCCCCGCCTGATACTCCCACACACATCTCGCAAAAAGTAGCCCTTGGAGGCTGTGTGTCCTTTCCGTACACCAAAAGCAAGTTGAGAATCACATTTCATCGTCATGCATTGCCCTCTGCCAGTCCATCCGTCGCCTCATCGTATATGGAAGTGGCCGGACCCGCGTGTTTGCAGCAGCACAAGAACACGGATCCAGGTCGATGCAGCCCGGTGCAAAAAGCTCGTGCACCAGGTCCAAGATGAAATCTGGCATGTACCATTCCTATGTATTGCTTTGGATGAACAGACACAGGCCGCCATATTGCAGCGGCAGTGCAACAGGTGCTGCCAATGCAAGCTCTCGATGTGGGTCTTGGACTTCACCCGGCCCGTGCATTTCGACTCGTCAACCATTGCGGATATCCTATTAAATCCTATTATTTAATATCGTCATGAAACAGGCATGGAAAGCGACTTGGTGTAATTGAGGAGAGAAGTGAACCTATGGTGCACTCCGCCAGTCCAACCCCGTTCTTACCTTGTCTGGCCCACGCACATCCACATACACGGCACCATCGTATGCGCCAAAAGATGCCATAATGGAAAAGTTAACAAAAGGTCGTCGGGCTGTTACTGGCTTGCGCTAAAACGAGGTGGGCGTTTTCCAAGGCAGAGTTTGGGACACTGTGAACAAGACCGTCGTGAACGTCTGAGAAGAACGTCTGTGTGTATCCTGCAGTCCCTACTGGGGGCCAAGTTCGTCGGAGGCGTATTCACAGAGGGTTGCAAGGCATAGTAATAAGCTCGGCGACTTCGTACTACTAATACCGAAGCGCGCGAAAATGACTAGGGAGAATCTCCGACAAGTGCCTTTTACGACAGAGATTACGGATTTGTAGTTCGAAAATGACTAGCGAGACTCTCCCTAGGGGTGCCTGTACGACACGGATGAAAATGACTAGCGAGTCTCTCCCTACGGGTGCTTGTACACAAGGATGAAAATGACTAGCGAACGTAATCGAACGTAATAAAGGCAGGGTAAATGGTTATTGGCCCCCGCCTGCTACTTCTGTATCATTTTTTAATAGTTTGCTTTGCGTCGCACGAGCATAGACTGGTTTTTGCATTTGCTATACAACGACTCGTTGGATGTGCTTACAGTGTGTGATATAAATGGTATCGTGTCAATATTCGCTGGTAAAGTATGTGCAACGCACTTTTCGGCTGGCTATTAAGTGTGTGCCGTCCGTCCAATTTGGACGTTGTGCGTCCAGAGGCGTAAAATTTAGGTTTTTGGTCAATTTGCGGGATGATGACATTTCGCTCGGTTGCGTATGCTTGGTGGTGTTGTCGGTGACGGCACAGTTTGTTTGGATGGTCGCACCAGCATATTCGTGCATGTGTGCTGCAGCAGACATATGAGATGTTGTCGAAAGGCACATGCCATTTGCTGTTACAGGTAACGCGAGATTCTCCGGTCGAAGAAAGACCGTGAAGCAGAAGTCCTGCAATGCAATAGGCAATCGTGCACCACCGCAGTCAAGATTGCATGCCTGTTGAGTTGGCCAGACTCGCAGTTCATTCTTCTCTTGACTGCTGTGCATGCTTATGCAGGTGCGCACCATAACTTCACGAAGTCCTCGTATGTGAAATGCACATCATGCACCAGTGCGTGTGTAAAGTAGCCATACTTGCATGCGTTGACTACCCACCAAACCACATGTAGCAGTGTCGTTATGGCGACTATGCATCAAGTAATCATCACAGAGTCCCAAACCATTCAACGAAGCTTCCGAATGGTGCATATAGGATTGCATTCATGCAACTGCTGTCGCAAGACATGCATGCATACGGCAGCAGCCGCTCACTCAATCATCAACCAATAAGCACTCTACACCGGCAGGAATACATAGCTATTTTTTGGCCCAGCATCATTGCACATGTACGTCTGTCTCAACTGTTAAATCTCTACGCTGTTTGTGACGCATTTGCCGCTGCAGAAGCACCACCAGCACCATTTTGGGATGGTCCACCACCTTTGCCTTGTAGGTTGTCATCGTAGTGGTTAATTTTGCTATTTGTCTTGTGGCCACCGTTGTTGCGCTTCGATGTGAGTGCGGCGATGAGTGTTGAGGCTTGCGCCAGCCTCATGACGTCCAGCTGCTCATCTGTGATTCGTTGACCCGTGTCAGTTTCTTGAGGAGATGGCGTTTCGTGATGGCGTTGCAGCCTGTGCTTTGACGGAGTTTTGTGAAATGAGTGCCGACGCATCCCTCTTGAATAGTGGTTGCTGCGGCAGCTGTACATTGAGCCTTTGCAACTGAGCAAGCTGTGTTGCAGTGGCCTGTTCTCCTGCTGCATGACTGTCCATGAGCTTGCTGGCCTGGCTTTTGGTAAGTTTGTCTATTTCTTCCATGGATGATCCCCGCGAGTGAAGAGCTGCACGCTGCCTGCCTGATGCAGGTTTTTCATTGTATTTGTTCTTGAAGTCTTCATTTTCTGCTGACCTGTTGCTTAGGAGTCTTGAGCATTCTCCGATTGTGGTAGGCCAGTCACATGGCATGATGGACATATCATTAAGGTATGCCTCTTGTTTTGGGGTTCGTTCGTCATCGGGGCGTCAGGTGGCGCGACATTGTGTTGTGATGCTGGTGGGCGACGGTGTGTGAAGACCAAGGCTTTGGTACTGCTGGACGGTTAATCCCATGGCTTGTGCCTGGGACTGATGACTTGCAGCTGCTGTTAAAGGGGTGGCGGTTGATGACATTGCAGGTGGGATGTGGGACAGGTGTCTAAGGTAGAACATAGTTTGTAAGAGGCAGTACGACAGTAGCTGCAATAACATAAGCAGGCTCAGCAGTAGTTTGAAGCATGGTGTTAAAGGGGGTACATAAGCCTTGAACATGTGTGGTGTTAGTTGGATGTCGACAGGCAGTATGTGCAGCTGCTCAATATCCACAACCTGTGACAGCAAAGTTCCTGGGCATGGGAGCAACGACAGCACATTCGCGTTTGGCTTTCAAGGCAGCCAATGGATACCCCTGAACAACCGATACATGCTCATGTTCTTGGCCATGGCTGACGTCATTTGTCTGGATGAAATCATCATGGCCAAGGCCGCCTTCCTGCAGCAGCTGCACCAACGCTGCCTGGATGCTTGCCCTAACGTACCCACCATGCTGCCTTTTGCGGGAAAGATAATCCTGCTTGGCGGTGACAAGCACCAGCTGGCCGCCATGTGTGACAGAACCTGTGACGAAGATGCATGCATACACCAGCCATAATGGTGGGCCATGTGGCACATGTTTCAGGAAATTCAACTTAAGAACAAATCGTTGACAGAATCCCGCAAATCAGGCGTGGATTGACGCACTCAATGTGATCAGGGTGGCGCCTCCAAGCGAGCCCATAATGTAACAAAGCAAAGGCGTAACCCGGGATGCTCAGATGGGCCTTGCGTCGTTACACACAATGGCACTTTTGCAGCGTGTGTGGTCATGCCGTCCCAAAAGTTCGTTGCACCCAGAAAATCATGGCACATTGCTGGCACAAACGAAAAATTCAACAAGTAAAACCAAGACATGGCACATCCACTTTGAGGGACAACTGCAACACATTCCAGCAGCTGACAAGCTTCACAAAGGAAACAGGCGCCCAACGATGTAGCTTACCTCTACAAAGCAATGCAAGGCCAAAGGGTACTCATAGACTAGGGGGGCGGCTTTTCAAAGCCGAAAAAGGGCTCGGCCCTGGTGCAGCCACTTGACCCCCGTTTGATTCGCAGGCCAGTCCGTACGGCATAGGAGTGCAAGCACAAGAACGCCGCCGTTTGTACAGACTTAGGTAGTGAAATCCTCAAACAATAAAGGTCGGCAGACTTGCTACGGCGGCGTAGACCTATCTGGATCGTCGCAAGCATGCAGCCGCCATAGCATAATCGTCATGACATTGGAGCAAGCCTCAACACTCATTGTGAAACGAATGGCGGCAGCAACAATGCAAATGGCTAAGCTAACCACTATGCAACAACGTACAAGACAAGGGTGGCGGACCATTCCAAGATGGAGCTGGTGGTGTTGCTGCAGCGGCAAATGCGCCACAGACAGTGTAAAAATAGAGCAAATGTGACAGAAGTGCATGCACAATGATGCCGGGCCGAAAAGTAGCTTTGTATTGCTGTCAGTGTAGAGTGTCTGACTGTTGCATGTATTGGGGCAGGAATTGCATGCATGCAGTCCATTAATGTAGCAAAAGTATTCGGAAGATTCGTTGAAAAGGTTGGGACTCTGTGATGCGCATATTGGTCTGGTCTGGTGGCGCATATGTGTATATGGGGTTTCCGGGTTCGATTCCTTGTCAGACCTCCGACATTGTTCGGGAGGTTTAGGTTAACTAACGCTGCTGAGGTGTGGAGATGAGGTCTAGTTGATGGACTAAGTTTCGCATGCTGAGATGGTGGTGGTGGCTGATCTGTCTCTACGGATGTTGGGTGACTGGATGAGGAGGGGTCTAGTTGGCAGGACCCAAACCGCCGTCGGCCGTACGGTGTAATCAACTATTCAATATATATAGTCCATGGCCTCCCGGCTTTGACGGACCCCCCCGCACTCGTGCGGTACTTGTAACTTGTATATGTGATGTGTTAATGCATAGTCGCCATGAACAGTCTGCAACAGGTCGTTTGGCGGGCATTCAACTCATGCAAGAGCGGACCCTTCAAGCAACACGCACTAGTGCATGACATGCATTTGACATACGCGAACTTCATGATGAGGTAATGCTGCACACTTGCATAAGCATGCTCAGCAGTCGAGACATGAATGCACTGCGAGTCTGGCCAACTCAACAGGCATGCAATCTTGACTGCGGCGGTGCATGATTGCCGATTGCATTGCAGGACTGGCCAACCTATCATGCAAATGGCAATCGTGCTGTGTGCTTAATGCGTGTCCCCATTCTCACGGACCCATCTCACGCTGCTACGCTGCTGCAATGCAAACTGCAAATTACATGACTACCAAAATGACCATACATGAACTATCCATTACCAAACGTCACATGTAAACTGAATCCTGAAACCATCAAGCATGCGTGATTTTAATGCAAATTTGTGTCGACGAAGGTGGGCTAGTTGCGGTTAGTTAGCCCAGTGTGTAATTGTTTAGCTATACCTAAATGTTTAGCAATGGCCCGTGCCCTCATGGCCACCATGTATTGCATACATGAAATGGGTCAGCTTGTCTTGTCCTTGTTGTTCGGCATGGCCTGTCCGCCAGCCGGCCTGCGCGCCGTCAGCTCGTTGTAGGTGGAGGCTCGCGCTGTCCTAGTTGCTGTATCTCTCTCCCCGATGCTGTTGGTCTTCTTCCATGGTGATCTTATTGCTGGTCGTCTTCTTCTTGATGGTCTTCTTCGTGCCGTGAATCTCGCATTAACTGTAACAGGAAAATGTATGTGTCTTTCAACAACAACTAACGCGTATGCTGCATCATGCACGCACGAATATGCTGGTGCGCCCATCCAAACCAAGTGTGCCCTCACGGACAGCACGACCAAGCATGCACACCCGGGCGAAATGTCATCACCCCGCACAGTACACCAAAACATAAATTGGACTTCCACAAGACTGCTGTGCAGCGCATATAAGAATACCTCACTGACCTCCGCGCTGAAACACGCCTGACATTCGACGAAGAACCACCCATCCTATACACGCACCGCAAACACACAAGTCATAAACAGCCGAATTGCAATACCCAGAGACGCAAGCAAACATACAAAGCCATCTTACAAAAATCTATGAACGCCGCCAACACTTCGTGCGTTCAAATTAGACGGATGGCAATGCAACAACACTCATAACACCGCACACACCAACAGCATAACTTGCAAACATCAGTTGCGCACCAAACAATACCATCCGCCGCGTCAACCAAATGAGTGAACTGCCAAACATGACATCGCTGATACGGACACTTAATGGCCAGCCGAAAAGTGCGTTGCATATACTTTACCAACGTATATTGTAACGATAGCACGATACAGACAACGAAAGCATGTCCAACAGTCGTCGTATAGCAGAAAGTAACAAACCAGTCTGTGCTCGTGCGACGCAAAGCAAATTGATAAAAAAACAATACGGAAGTAGCAGGCGGGGGCCCTGTTGTAAACGGCGAATTGGACCAGACATAAGGGACTGACAAGTAGGGAAACAGTAAACTGTTACATTGGTAGAGTATTAACTCTGTGACCAAAGAAGGTATAAAAATAGAACTAAGACAGAACAGCCATAGCAACTTACTTCAGCAGAGATCAAGAGATGAACTCGTACCACGACAACTACCTTAACAGTATCGCCTCAGGTGTCGACAGGATTGGACGAACTAGCGTAGAACACCTCAGTTTACAACACTCCCACGCGGACAATCCGTCGACAACTAACCCTACTCATAGCCAGCAGTCCAAACAGATCCGTTTACCCAGCAACGCAATCAAATGCAAAGCACGGGTACTCCCACGTTCACTAAAGCCACATAGAGCAACCCAACAGTGTGCTAAGCAAGGTGACGCACTCCCACGGGCGTTTAAACTCCGCACGCGCGCACTCATACTCGGTTTGACAAATCACGCATGGTTCCCATGAAACAACAAGGCGCATTTCACATCGCGTCGCATACCGCGCATTACTGTGCAGTGCCGTACGGCTTCACAACGCACAGCAGGACCAGGACGTTTCCTAGTCGCTCAAATCAGACAACATTCGACATTACGGGTCGAGTTTGCACGAGATACAGCAGTCGGTTGCCAATCATTTACCCAGTATATATCCGGGTGGGAACTCATGCGGCTGCTCGTCCGCCGTACCCAATCGGAGCGCCGTGTTACGTTTCAAAGCCTTACTAGCCTATGCAGGGCTCATGAATGCTCTTAGGGTAGGTTTACTTTTTCGTTAGGGCACAACGTAAAAATCGTAGTGCGTTCCACCTTTCCAGGAAGCGCATTTGGCCTTGGTTCGGAGCTCAGCATAATTGAAGCATGTCCTTCATTTCTGCTCGTGATCATGGCGCGAAGCCAGGATCTGGCGGACCTGCAACAGCTCAGAATGAGGTGGGTGGACGCCTTGGCTTAAATTGTCATTTCCGCTTTATGCGGCAGAATGATCGAGTTCGGGAATTGAAAGGCACTTTGATGATGCAGGCCATTGACCGTCGTGAGCGCCTTCGACGGCTGGCGCTCGAGACCATAGACCTGAGCAGGGATCCCTACTTCATGCGTAATCACTTAGGGCAATATGAATGCCGTTTATGCTTGACGCTCCACACCAACGAGGGAAATTATTTGGCTCACACACAAGTGGGTGTTGCGAGGGTAATTAGTACATGCCTGGGTTTGGCTCTCCGCTGCGATGCGGCTGACAATGTTGCCATCTGCAACAGGGCAAGCGGCATCAGCAGAACCTTGCAAAGCGTGCAGCACGAGAGGCGGCGGAAAAGGCAGCAGTACCGGCGCCTCACAAACGCGCTCCCATCCGGAAAACAGGTGCGCCGCTTGTTTGGTTGCTTTGCAAATTCGGAAGCCGCGGAGAAGTTTCTTGAGCAACGGATGGGGTTTCTTGGGATTGATTGTTGGCATGAAAAGTTCTCTTATCCAGAAGGCTCTATGTACATTGCCGCTACTGGCTGCGTGAGTCGCACTTGGGCCTTGGGGCTTCGTCGCTATAGGGGGGGGGGTCTGTGATCCTGACAACGCTGAAGGTTATGGATTCCAGCATCATCGGGACATTTAGAGGCTCCCTACCGCATTAAGGGAGGGCGCTGTAAGCTAGAAGTATCAACTTGAGTTTCTCATGTCGCGCCAGATACAGGATTCGTTGTGCAGCCAATATCTAGTTGCATGGAAGTCATGTATCCTGCAAGGTACAAAAAGGGTGGGTTCCGCAAGCCGGTTTGGGGGTCCAGTGCAGCCGCGCCTGACGTACTCACCGAGGCGGGCGCTTTTGTCACCGTTTTCATTGTGCTCTATTGCGCACTTCCAAATTAGGTCGACTGTGCTGCAAGGCGTAGCGGCATATCTGTTTAGCTGACTCTTTACCACCCTAATCCGAGACGGGACCCGTCCCTCCTAACGCAAGTCTAACGCAAGCCTAACGCAAGTACCTTGGCTTGTATCTTCGTGCTGCTCTGATGCTACAGTTAAAATCGGGCGACCTGGTTACCGCGTCACTAAACAGTACGATGCCAGTACACAGCAGCGCTCCCTGCTTTTTCAAGTAGGCTTGTTATGGGTAAAGTGCGGGAACAGTCCGCACGGTACATTGGTGGGGGATTGCAGGGCAGAGTGCAATTTGGTGAGCTGGCAAACAGCATGCACCGGCCTGGCTTTGTTAGGCATGATGCTTGATGTACGCAACTGAAACCTTAAAGTTTCAGTTGCCCTTGGCTACAGGGCGCCAGGTCTTCGCCGTTGGATGCAGAGACATGTGTCATGGCGGCAGCACGTGGCCGCCGATATACATCCTTGAGTGTGCGGAAACTCCTGTTCTGCTGATCGCCATTTTACGCCCTTGGTTGAACACACCGTTCATACTGCGTCTGCTTTTAAGGTCGAGTACCCTGAGATTGAGGAGAGCGTGAAGCCGCGGCATCGCTTCATGTCGGCGTACGAGCAGCGTGTGGAGACAGCTGATAAAGCCTTCCAGTATCTGATTTTTGCTGCGGAGCCATACGAAAATATCTCTTTCAAAGTACCCAATTCGGAAGTTGACCGCTCTGATGGCAAGATGTTCACTCATTGGGACCCCGACAACAAGATCTTCTCCCTGCAGTTTTATTTTGCAAGACAACGAGGTGGGTATGGTTGAAAGTTTGCAAATGATCACGTCGTTTGGAGGCTCATAGGACTATGGCTTGTTACCCCTTCCAGATAACGTTAAGCATACTATTAAAGTTTGGCACACGATCAATACGGCTTACATCATGCATGTGCACACTGTTTATGCCCCTCACCGCTGGTTATCAAGGAGCCATTGCAATCGTATGGTGGTGCCTTTCTGACGGGTTTTTATTACCTGCTCTGCTGCAGAACACGGCATGGTATCACAGGTCATGCTATCGCCGCCGCCATCCTCTATGCTGTCCCCTTCCATGCCGCCGCCGGGGATTATGGGACTGCCGCCCATGACATCGCTGCTGCACGGTGCCCCGACTTCACAAGGTGGCCAGCCACACCCGAAAGGACTACCGCAGCCGCCCGTGGGTATGGTGAGACTGAGGCCTGCGACTTATCAGATTTGCTGGTGCCTGCAGTTTTGAGTATCACAGGTCGTGTTGTGCGCGCATCTGTTAACATTGTTACACGTAAGCCCTATGCATGTATGTGTGTACGTGCACGCATACTCGTGACGAAATACTCGCATGATGTGCGTTTGCGCGGTAACAACAAATATTACACAAGGTGGCTGAAAACGAGTGTTCCTATACAGGCGATGTGATGCGTGCCGATGTCCGTCTTAATGCAGGTATTGTCCTCGTCGTCTGGGCTTCCTCCACCGCCCCCCCCGCCGGTCTTCATGTCTCCCCTATCTGGAGGAGGACAGGCCTTCCCTACGTTACCTGCGCCTCCGTCTTCAAGGACATCCATGTGACACAGCTGCGCAAAAGCCAGTTTTATCCCTTATCATTCAGTCCAGGACATGCCTCTGGCTCTACTTCTGACGAACGTTCGACGGCGGAAGGACAAGATGCCGCATGTAGGACGGTGGGCTAGCTCAGCATAAGGAATAAATTTTATTTTCGAGGGGTTACTCGCTGATGAGCAGGCGCTGCAGATCTTTACACTCCTGCGCTCACGCTACCAGAGGATTAGGAAGGAGGCAATGGCTTCTTATCGTGTGTCGCATTTACTACGTTTCTTGAGGGGTGCAAGGGGGATCCGCGCGCACTGTGGCGGCAACTCGACCAGGGGGCGAAACCTGATTGCCCGATACGTGACGTCAACAGCTGGCGCGACTATTTTGATGCACTGTACCATGACGAGATCAACACTTTTAACGAGGTTAGAGCGGATTGCATGATGGACCTCGTCAATGGGTGCTCACTTACAATACCGCGCGGCTGGGCTGGTGAGAGCTGTTAAGCCCGAAATCAGAGAGTCGCTGCTGCTGCGGCCCTCAGTGTCCCGTTTACCTTGGCAGAGGTCATCGTTTCGCTAAAAATGCTGGGCAACAATGAATCCCCAGGACTTGAAAGGGCCCCTGCTGAGTGTTGGAAGTATGCCACCAGGAAGGTGGGAGAAAAGGAAGAGTTGGTGCTTGCACCGTATCTGCTGTGTCTGTTGGAACATATCCGGTCGACTGGGGACTACCCTAGGCAGTTCGAGGTATCAGGGTGGCTTTCGGCCTCGGTGCGGCACCACTCAGAATTTGTTCTTGGTGCGACACCTCACAGACCGTTGCCGTAAGGATTTTGTTAACGTTCTGGGACAAGTGTTGTTTGTATGCCAGATTGATTTTGAGAAAGTGTTTGACCGGCGAATCCAGCTTAACGGAGCAAAAGGAAAGGCGTTTCCCTCCACCCAAGGGGTTAAGCAGGGTTGCCCAATGAGCCCCACGCTCTTCGGTTTTTTTGTTGAGGTTTTTGCAGATTACATTGATGCTCTAGACGACGCGCTTCCTGATGCCATGGCGGCCCCTGACACCCCTAACGTTGAAGGTCGTCGAATGCCCCTAACCCTCTACGTTGATGACCTGAGCCTATTCACGATGTCACTGAGACGGTTGATGAGCTTACGACGGGCACTGCGGGAGTGGTCGGAGGCTTTCGGTCTCACTGTCAACGTGCAAAAGTGTGTGCTGTTGTGTTTTCATCCCAATGGTCAGGTTAGAAGGCAGGTCTATGCTCTCAACGCATATGACCTGGTTGCTGCCTAAACTCGGCGAAGACTGGGCCTCCGGAATTGCATGACGCTAAGTTACCGCCGGGGCCGAGGTAAAGCGCATTATCAACAACTGGTATTGATTTACCACAGACACGGAGCGCTTTGCACCTTGAGGCAAACATGCGAGCGCTCTGCTGAGCGCCTGAACAATTTCCACCGCCCACACCATGTCCAAGGGGTGGTTGAGTGCAGCAGCAGCGGGACACGTGTCAGTCAATTAGTTATAGACAAATAGGCTTAGTGGAGTAAAAATGGACAGGTTGCTATACTGAAGCACACAATTAACTTGATGTCGCAAAACCATGCAATTCTTGATGAGCACCCAACCTGTAACAAAGCAAAGGCGTAACCCGGGATGCTCAGTTGGGCCTTGCGTCGTTACATTGCCCCCCCTTTAGCAATGGACGTCCGCGGCCATTATATCGAGCATTGGAGCCATCCCACCTCACGGATTGTGCGCTGGTTTATCCATTACCCATGATATCGCTTTCTGCGATACCTGCTTGTTGTCAGAATCGAACCACCGACCCGAAGATTTCATCGGAAGTCGTGCGGCCCCGTCTCGATACCATTGTAACAAAGCAAAGGCGTAACCCGGGATGCTCAGTTGGGCTTGCATCGTTACACAACCAGCCTATTTGTAACCCTGACATGAAAACCAACACAAACCTTGACAGGAACTCACTTTCTGGTCTGCTGCTAGGTGATCTGGTCCAGCGCTCGACATCCATTGGTCATGGGGTCCGGAGGTCCGGCTGCTGCTTGAAACAGCTTCAAGACACTGCTCTGCCTCCTCAACACTCAAGAGCTAAAATACATCTGCATTGAAAACAAATAGAAGGACAAAGAACAATAAAACATTACATTAGTTATCATGCTTGTGTGCAGCAGCATCGGACTGCAACCCTTGATGCCGGTGAAGAGCTAGCGTACATGTCAGAATAACAGATAGAAGCAGGTAGCACACGCCCCCGGACTGGGGACGAGCGTACTGCAGGGTCCAGTAACATGAGCTCCGCCGGACCGCCAACGAACGCCAACCGAACGCGCCACGAGGAGGAGGTTAAACATATATTATACATTATATTATACAATATATATTATGTCTCCTTATGGATTTTGTCTTGTGTCATGAGCCGGACGCCTTGCCGAATTCCTCGGCCCGACCCCTTGCACGTCCTCTGAAATCTGAAAGATAACGCATTGAAATATCGACGTTGAAATACGTTTGGTTAAGTTTAAAGGTTGGAAAGTGGTCAAGGCGCGGCCATGTTACCTGCCAAGTAACCGTCTCAAGCCGAAAGCCGAAAGCCAACCAGTTAGCTTTGATAAATAGAAACTAATAACACTACTGATGGGCGACGGGGCAGGTCGATGAGGCCTTCGAAGGCCGCGTTGTCGCGATGCAGTCTCTTGGGGCCGTCGCCCGTCTGGACAGCCCGCCGGAGAGGTGGCCTAACCTTTATGCATGCACGCTGACACGAATAGCGCGGGGCCCGGGGGCGCGGGGCACGGGGCGCCCCCCCTACTTGGGGGGGTAGGACCTCCAGTAGGTGCCCCTGCGCGTCCGTATCCCCGGAATCTCGCCTGCCCCTGCTTTCCCCCATGCGCCGCGCGTACCTACAGCTGCGTTATGATTATATGCATGCATGGGCTGCGGCGAATCGGCGCGCGAAGCCCCGGCGGGACCGAAATGCGACCTTACGTGTTCCTGACCTGCCTAGCATGAGTTGGATCTAGTAGGTGCCCCTGCGCGTCCGTATCCCCGGAATCTCGCCTGCCCCTGCTTTCCCCCATGCGCCGCGCGTACCTACAGCTGCGTTATGATTATATGCATGCATGGGCTGCGGCGAATCGGCGCGCGAAGCCCCGGCGGGACCGAAATGCGACCTTACGTGTTCCTGACCTGCCTAGCATGAGTTGGATCTAGTAGGTGCCCCTGCGCGTCCGTATCCCCGGAATCTCGCCTGCCCCTGCTTTCCCCCATGCGCCGCGCGTACCTACAGCTGCGTTATGATTATATGCATGCATGGGCTGCGGCGAATCGGCGCGCGAAGCCCCGGCGGGACCGAAATGCGACCTTACGTGTTCCTGACCTGCCTAGCATGAGTTGGATCTAGTAGGTGCCCCTGCGCGTCCGTATCCCCGGAATCTCGCCTGCCCCTGCTTTCCCCCATGCGCCGCGCGTACCTACAGCTGCGTTATGATTATATGCATGCATGGGCTGCGGCGAATCGGCGCGTGAAGCCCCGGCGGGACCGAAATACGGATAGGTGTCAGAAACGGTCTTACATAAGTTGAATAAGAATGTCTGTGTTCAGAAAACATACGTTGAATTCAAGCGACATGCGAAACACATCTATTTCATGCAAGGTTCTTCTTCTTCTTCTTCTTTGCTTGCTTAATGCCAACAACAATTTAGTCAACAAGGCCCCCCTGCAAGGTTGTAATCAGCCGCCCTGTGTTCAGAAAACACACGTTGATTTCAAGCGACATGCGAAACACATCTATTTAATGCAAGATTCTTCTTCTTCTTCTTCTTCTTGCTCAATGCCAACAATAATTTAGTAAACAAGGCCCCCCTGCAAGGTTGTAATCAGCCGCCCTTAGGGCCCCCCCCATCCCCCTTCTTCCGCTTCTTGCTGGGTGGCGGGGGCACTTGTGCATCGTATACTCTCTTTGCCACCTCGTATGCATCGAAGTACTTCTTCCGCTCATTGTCTGGCAAGCTGGCCCAAAGCCGCGAGAGTGCCGCCAGCTGCAGCCCCTGCTGTCCTGGAACTGCCCTCATTTCACGGCAGAACTCGGTGAAGGCATTGTTGGGTTTCTTAGGTAGACCTCTATCCTCCACCAGGGGGACCGTACTTGTCCGCAGGGGCGCCCCCGTGGCTGTGAACTGAGGGCCCGGGGGCTGG